TGGGTTTCATCCCCAGCATTGCAAAAAAAAAAAAAAATCAATTTTATGTAGATTAAAGATCTATATGTATGAAGCAAAACTAAGTCTTGGAGGGCAAGGGGCTGGGAGTATATCTCAGTAGCACTTGCCTAGCATGCCCTGAGCGCAATCTCTGGCACTGCTTAAAAAAATAAATAAATAAATAAATAAGTGAGAAAACAAAAGACAAGTATACATTCACAAAATATTTGTGAAGTTATAAGATGCTCAGTCTCCTTAATAACCCAGGAGATACAAATTAAAAGCATATCAAAGTACTATTTCACAACCAATGGACAGGTAAAATTTTCCTGTTTGAACAATGCCACAATATTGAAGATTGTAGAGCAAGGGAATCCTCAATTGCTGCTAGTAGATTTATAAAGTACTAGAATCATTTTGGGAAACTGTTTGGTATCACTTAGTGTCACAGTCCACTGTATTGTTATAACAAAGTAGCTGAGACTGGATAATTTATGAACAGTAGATGTTTATTCCTCACAGTTCTGGGGGAGGCTGAGAAGTCCAACATCAAGGTGCTGATAGGTTCAGTGTCTAGTGAGGTCTTGTTCTGTGCTTCCGAGTTGGTGCTATGTTGTTGCATTCTCCAGATGGAACAAACATCTCAGGGGGCAGAATGTGGAAGGGCAAAAGGGGAAGAGTGCTGAAGAGGTAACTCTCTTAAAGTTCCTTTTATAAGAGCATTAATTCATTCACAAGGACAGAACCCTCCTCACTTAATCATTTCTCAAAAGACCCACTTTTTAAATACCACTGCAATACTGCAATGAAGATTAAGTTTCCATGAATTTGGGAAGGGATGTACATTGAAATCAAAGCACCTGCTGTACATCCAGTGATCCAGCATTTCTATTTCCAGGATATACCATGCATGTATGCGCCATTCATAGGTACAGGAATTCTCCTGGAAGTAACATTGTAAACAAATATATTTCATTAAAACATTATTTTTTGCAATACTAGGGATTAAACCCAGGTTTGCTCTACCACTAAACTGCATCCAGGTGCTTTTTTTTTTTTTTTTTTTTTTTTTAAGGAAACTGTTTTATTGCTTTGTTAGCAAAAGAGAAAAGCCAGGGGACTCTAGTCCCAAAGGCAGTGATTCTGCCTGTCCTGACAGGAAGAACAAAGGACTTTAAAAAGGGATCCAAAGGCTACATTCCAACCTGTTCTTTGTCAGTGGTCATAATTTACTTGTAGACTTGAGAGTGAGCCATTTCTTAGACTTTAAGGTGCCATCCCTGAAGTCTGTAGAACTTCATTCCTGGGGTGCATGAGCTCAGGGATAGGTAACCTGGCCAGACTCTTGTGGCTCTCTGTCATTAGACATGAAGGTACTTCTTTCCTCTTGACTTAGAACTTTAAGGGAAGGTCATAAATCGTTCTTGCATGTGTTGTTTCTCAAACTCCTGCAACTTAAAATACCCAACATCCTGGGACAGCATGCTCTGAACCCTTCACTAACAGTTCATTTCATTGTGGTTATTTGAGATGCCGTTTTCCTGAACTTTAGAACTGGTACTTCCCTATCTTCAAGAGAAGCTGTAGAGGTTAAATGAGGTAATACATGACAGTGCCTTGGTCAATGCCCCAGAGAACAGATTAAATGCTCCGAGAATATTCACTGAGCTTAGTTTTATATTTGGATTTTGGTTTGGAGAACTGGAGAAACACCTAAGTCTTCTGATGAAATTGGACTGGGGATTAACTTCTGTCACTGGTTAAGACCTAGTTAATCATCCAACTTGATGATTAACACATAAACAAGGCACTTTTATAGTTTATCTAATTGGTAAATGGGTAATCTTATTTCTTTGACAATCTGTTAGCTTCTGTTTTCTACAAGGTAGACTCTCACACACTTCTCTTCCAATTCTGGATGCTACATGGAGCACAGGAAGCATGGTTTCAGAGGTCTTTCTATTGACAGCTGGCTCTGTTCCTTGGGGCTCCATGTAAGACAGAATATCATGGAAGAGGAGTGTGGTAGAGGGAAGTTCACATGATGATCAGAAAACAGAGAGGATCCCAGTCTTTTTTTTAATGTAATTTTTATTTATATATGACAGCAGAATGCATTACAATTCTTATTATATATATAGAGCACATTTTTTCATATCTCTGGTTGTATACATAGTATATTCACACCAATTAATCATAAATCTTTATATATATATATATACATACATACATACAYACACACACACACACACACACACACACTTTGGGTAGTAATTATCATTATATATACATTCCACCATCATTAATTATCCCATGCCCTCTCCCTTCCCCTCCAACCTCTCTGCCCTATCTAGAGTTCATCTATTCCTCTCCCGCTCCCGCTCCCTATCCCACTATGAATCAGCCTCCTTATAGCTAAGAAAGCATTTGGCATCCCAGTCCTTTTTAATAGGGCTTTGCTAAATTGCTAAGATTGGCCTTGAATTTACAATCCTGTTTTAGCCTCCTGAATCACTGGGATTATAGGTGTATTGCACCTGGTTTAAAGTATTTAGACAATGAAATAGTCTATCCTATGGTAAAAATGAACAGCTATAAACATCATCATGCATGAATCTCTAAAACCTGATGTTGACTTTTTAATAGAAATGTTAAACCAGGCATGGTAGTGATTGCCTGTAATCCCAGCTAATCAGGAGGATCACAAGTTTGAGGCCAACCTGGGCAACTTCAAGACACCCTGTCTCAAAATGGCTGGGGGATGTAACTCAGTGGTACATCCCTGGGTTCAATCCCCAACAAAAAAATAAATGACATAGGGGCTGGGACTGAGGCTGAGTAGTAGAGTCTGACATGTGTGAATCACTGGGTTCAATTCTTAGCACCACATATAAATAAAAGTCTATCAACAACTAAAAAAATATATTTAAAAAAAGAAATAGTCATGTCACAAAGGACATAACACAATGTGATTTTATTTATATGAAGTTCAAAAACACATAATATTCTTAAGGATGTATATAATTACGATTCATTTTCTTGGGGTTGGGGTTGTGGCTCATTAGTAGAGCGCTCACCTAGCACGTTCATCCTCAGCACCACATACAAATAAATAAAATAAAGGTGTTCTGTCAAACTACAACTAATATTAAAAAAAGATTCAATTTCTTTCATTTATTTTTATTTATATATGACAGCAGAATGCATTACAATTCTTATTATACAGAGAGCACATTTTTGCTGAGGGGGTATACATTGGTATACTTTTTTTGTTTTTGGTACCAAGGATTGAACCCAGGTGTGCTTTGCCACATTCCCAGCCCCTTTTTTTTGGAGGGGGGGAGCACGAGGAGGGCGGCATATACTGGGGATTGAACTCAAGAGCACTCAACCATCAAGCCATATCCCCAGGCCTATTTTGTATTTTATTTAGAGATACGGTCTCACTGAGTTGCTTAATATCTCGCCATTGCTGAGGCTGGCTTTAAACTTGCTATCCTCCTGCCTCAGCCTTCCAGCCACTGGGATTAGCGATATGCACCACGGTGCCCAATTCCTTGTTACATCTTAAAACACACAAAAAATAAAAATCCAGGAAGATCTTTGAAATATTCCAAAATTAAAAATAATTACAAAATAGCTCTGCAATTAATTTGCAGGGGTGTAGAAAGTCTGATATCCATATTAGGTGCTAATGAAAGAAATGAACAACTAAAAATAGTCAATTATCCCCCAAACCCTTTAACTTCAGTTTTTAAACATATTTCAGTATCCATAATCTTTTCATTGCTGCTGTAAGGCTGAAATGAAAGTGTTTTTTAAGGCCAGGCACTGTGGCGCACACCTGTACTGTAATCCCAGGAACTTGGGAGGCTGAGGCAGGAGGATCCTTGAGTTCAAAGTTAGCCTCAGCAATGGTGAGGTGCTAAGCAACTCAATGAGACCCTGTCTCCAAAAAAATACAAATAGGGATGGGGAATGTGGCTCAGTGGTCAAGTGCCCCCGAGTTCAACCCCCGGTACCCACCAGCCTACCAAAGAAAAAAAAGTTTGACAGATTTTTTTTTAACCAACTTTAAAGATGGATTAACTTTTGGATCTAAACTTTACATTTTGATGTCTAAAATTTCAAGACTTGGGCTGGGGATGTGGCTCAAGCGGTAGTGCGCTCGTCTGGCATGCGTGCGGCCCGGGTTCGATCCTCAGCACCACATAAAATATTTAGTTATCTGCCGATAACTAAAAAATATTAAAAATTCTCTCTCTCTCCATCACTCTCTTTAAAAAAAAAAATAAAAAAATAATAAAATTTCAAGACTAATTTTGATTTACAGATTCAATCAGAATTGTATCTGAAAGTTGGGCACAGTGGTACATGCCTATAAGCCCCAGCAACTTGGAAGGCTGAGGCAGGAGAATCTCAAGTTCAAGGCCAGCCTGGGAAGCTTAGGGAGACCCTGTCTCAAAATAAAGAAGGCTGAGGGTATGGCTCAGTGGTACAGTGCCCTGGAGTTCAATCTCCCCAACCTCATTCACAAAAAAGATATAACCCCTTTTTTCATCTTTGTTCACCTCTTTATTTGGGGACATTACTAAATATTCCCTTTTTGTATAAAGATACCTCAGAGTGATTAATTGTATATATGGTGACAGTTTAGCCTCAGGGTATCCATCTTCTGGAGGAAAAATCTTTCATTCTATTGAGTGTTTTTGTTTAATGAATGTTAGATATCTTAAAAATTATTGCTTCTACCTTTGAAATTTTTATTTAATAAAGTGTTTTCTACTGATGGAAAAAAAGAAAGTGTATGTTTTTCTCTTGTTAGAAGAGACTCAAATGTATAGAAAAAAATAAAGAAGAAAATATGCCCCCTAGTGGTGGGATTAAAGGTGATCATTTTGTAGTTTCTCTATTTTTCTGTTTTTCAAACTTTTCCAGATGGGGCCAAGGCCTGGGAATTCTTGTCTTCCCTGAGCACCAATTAAGCACACAATGTACAGACTTTTGGTCAAAATTAGTAAACTTTATTTAAACTTCAAAAAATAAAATAACAGACAAAAGGCAGCTTAAACTTTGTTCTTCCCGAGGATCAGATGTACAACTCTGAGCAGGAACTACCCCTACAAAGTTAAAAGACCCTTTAACCCCAAATCCAGTCACAGGCAAGGAAAGACCTTCACTGTGGGGTCAGGCAGAGGGCAGGAGGAACCCCACAGMTAGGTCAGTGGGTTCTGAAACAGCACAAGTGGAGAACAGACAAAAAGCCCTATCAGAAACAGGATCCAGAACTTATAGGGCAAACTTTGTCACAAGGAGTTATGTACAAAGGGAGGTGGGCCAGGGTCACAGCCCAGGAGGGAGACAGAGGAATACACAGCGCCACCAAGGTTGCCCCTGGTCCTAGCCAGCTGCTGCGGCACCCTGCTTACCCTCAATTCTCCTCATCACTGTCATCCGGGCTGATGGCTGGGCTGGTGAGGCTGTAGGTGGGGCTGGTGGGTGAGTAGCCAGGGGAAGTGGGAGAGTAGGTAGAGCCTTTAGGGGAGGTGGGCGAGTAGGTAGGGCTGGTGGGTGAGTACTTGGGGGAGGTTGGTGAATAAGTGGGGCTAGTAGGTGAATACTTGGGGGAGGTTGGGGTATAAACTGGAGACGTTGGTGAGTAAGTAGGAGATGTTGGTGAATACTTTGGAGTAGTGGGTGAATAGGTGGGGCTGGTAGGAGAGTACTTGGGAGAAGTGGGTGAATATTTGGGGCTGGTAGGCGAGTACTTAGGAGAGGTTGGGGTATACTCTGGTGAGCTAGGACTGTAGGAAGGACTGGTTGGGGTATACTTGGGAGATGTAGGGCTGTAGCTAGGAGAGCTAGGGCTATAGCTGGGAGAGCTTGGGGTATAAGTTGGAGACTGTGGTGTGTACCGTGGGCTTGAGGGGGAATAGCTTGGTGAGGTTGGTGAATAGCTGGGTGAAGTTGGGGAGTAGCTTGGAGAGGTAGGGCTGTAGTTAGGGCTAGTTGGTGTGTAGTTGGGACTAGTAGGCGAGTAGCTGGGTGATGTTGGGCTGTAGCTAGGTGACGTTGGGGTATAATTAGGACTGGTTGGAGAGTAGTTTGGACTGGTGGGTGAGTAACTTGGGGAAGTTGGTGAGTAGCTTGGAGATGTAGGCGAGTAGCTGGGAGATGTTGGTGAATAGCTAGGGGAAGTGGGAGAGTAGCTGGGTGAAGTTGGTGAGTAACTGGGAGATGTTGGTGAATAGCTGGGAGACGTTGGCGAGTAGCTGGGAGAGGTTGGGGAGTAGCTGGGTGATGTTGGTGAATAGCTTGGCGATGTTGGTGAATAGCTGGGAGACGTTGGCGAGTAGCTGGGAGAGGTTGGCGAATAACTAGGAGATGTTGGGGAATAACTGGGAGAGGTTGGGGAGTAGCTGGGTGACGTGGGGCTATAGTTGGGACTGGTTGGAGAATAGGATGGAGAGGTTGGGGAGTAGGAAGGTGAAGTGGGGGAATATGAGGGACTCTGGGGTGTGTAGCCCCCAGGGGAGCGAGGCTCGTAAGCAGGTGATGTTGGCGAGTAGCTGGGTGACATGGCACCACCTGTGGAAAATAAGGCAACAAGGGAAATATATGATGAAAAGACTTGTCTGTAAGGAAAGCTCAAGGAGGAAATGAGGTAGCTTGGCAGTAACAACTCACCTGGAGAAGGGATGTATGGGCTTGAAGGGCCAGGAGAGCCTGGAGAGCCTGGTGTGGGAGACCAGGCAGGAGAGTAACCTGGGCTGAAACCACTGGCATCTGAAGCAGCACTGGGAGAAAAGCCAGCTGCCCCTGGGGTCATCCCACTCCCTGGAAGGGAAAAGAACAAACTGAAACCAGCCAGAGCTGGAGCCCAATCATCCACCTTTCCCCAATTCCCATGACCTCCACCATCTACAAATATTACCATCCACCATCCCAGATCACCCACTTCTGACCACCTGAGGGCCCTCTTCGTGGGTCAGGTTACTCACCAACACTTGGGGACCAGGCGCCATAGGCTGGGGTTGCACCCTGGTTCCAGGGTGTCATGGCAGGAGAAATTCCTCCCATGGGACTGGGTGCTGAGCCGAAGAACATGCCAGTGGCTGCAAAGAAGCCCAGTAACTCATGAGGAACAGGACCCAGGGTCTAATAACCCACCTGGCCAAGTCCTCACCCCCTTGCAGGCCCAGCAGGGTTCTGTTCAGCTGAGGCCCTCATACTCACGTCCAGCAGCCCCCAAGCCAGGGATGTTGGTGGGGATCTCCATTCCATACTTGCACTTCTCTGCATCAAGTAGGAGATCAAAACAGCCAGTGCCAGCTGGAGCTAGCTGGCCCAGCATAATATTCTCAGACACCCCCTTCATGGGGTCACTCTCCCCATGGGCAGCTGCTTCCATAAGCACATCCACCTAAACAACCAGAAAAGGACAGGCCCCGTCAGACCCCTCCACACACTGCGCCCAGGGTGCTCCCACCACAATCGTAGCCCAATTGCCCCACAGTAGAAGAACAACACTGATAAAAATATACATTCATGCTCCTATTTTGCAGAGCTCCTTTCTCTGACCCTGCTCAGAGAAAAGTTCTGCCATTACCGTTTCCTCAAAGGAACATTTCATGAGAGGTCCAGTGTCCTGGCGGTTGACTCCATGTCGGGTAATGGCCATCAAGTGGCCACGACAGGTCATGGTATCACACAAGAGCGCCAAATGCCGGTAATTGACATAGGAACCATCAAAGGAGATGACATGGTACAGCTCCCGCTCCAGAGCCTTCCGCACAGCCTCAATGCCCAGCACCTGTCATGGAGATTGAGGGGGAAGAATCAAGTCCAGGTTAGCTCTGTTCCTTTTCCTGCTCCTACCACCACCCAGATCCATAGGGAGGGAGTCAGGAATCAGTACATCCCACATTGAAAATGTATTCAGGCAGAAAAAACCTGAAAAAGGAAATCCTGTGAGCAGATGGCACAGAATAACAGCCCTGAAACCTCACTCTGAAATAAGCCCCAGGAAAGACCATGAGGCAGTGGGCTCACCGTGAAGATTTCCACAATGTCATTGGAAGTGGTGCGCACAGGGTCCACATCTTTCTCGCTCAATACTCGCATCAAGCTGACACCATCCGTCTCCAGGATCCACTCCTGCAGGGCCTTGAATTCCCCGTCCTCCGTGATGATGATCTTCTTCTTGTTGTCAGTCTGTGGCAAGTGCATGTACACCTGGAAGAGGAGAGTGAACTTGAGCTGGACTAAGTAGGACAGGGTGAGGGACAGGTGGGAGGACAACAGTTGAGGAGGAGAAGGCTGACCTTGCTGATCTGCTCGATGCCCTGCAGGGTCATATCTGTCAGCATGTTAGATTCAATGCAGCGCAGGAAGACATCATCATCCATCTTGTCTACCACCTCTTCTTCCTGTAACATGAGATAAGCATTCCTAGAACCCTTGGTCTCTTCTCAACTCTCACTCCAAACTACTACCTCTCAAGACTTGGTCTCAAAAATATTAAAAGAAACCTAAGAGAAGGCAACCACACCCTACTGCCTGATATTCTTTATTTTCACGTAGTCTGTTTAGCACCATGTATGTGCCCTTGAGGGCTGTGACCCAAGTAAGTCCCTGTTTTGCTTCTGGTGCTTAGCCAAGTGCTTTGCTAGGCTGCTTCTAACTTGGCATGGCCCTTTTTAGTAGATGTATACTGTATTCCATGAAGATACATTAACATTTTCTTAGCTATTCTGACAACACATGGGGAGTTGATGAGTTCTTGAATTTTTATTATTAAAACGGCAGACACTTGCATGTACAGAACAATCTCTCAGTAACTATACCCAGGAATCAGTCGTTGGTCAAACATTTTTATGGATCACATTATATCTGCTGCAATACCACTGTCCTAAGGACACAGCAATTCCTACCATTCAGCCTGTCCTTAACCCTGCCCCCTTGCTCTCTTGGCTCAGGAGAGTGGGCTGTAGGAATCTGGGGAAGGAGAATCAAATGACAGAGCTATGAGGATGTGCCCTTTTTCAGTACCATCTGTCTGTTTTATCTATTTGGCTGCCATTTCAAATTTCAAAGATTTTCACTGCTACATGTTGGGAAAATCATTGCTAATCATCATTCCCTACTCCTAAATTAGGTGGATGTGGCTAATGTTGCTTGCATCTTAATTTCTTTGGCCACTAACAAGATTTAATGGTTTTCTGTAATAGGTCAATTTCTTCTTAGTTCCCATTTACCTCTTGCATCTTGTTTTCATCACTGTTCATAATACGTATACGAAGGACCAGCTTTTCTGCATTATCATCATTAAAGATGCAATTCAAGTCATCACCAAAACCTGGCAGAGACAATAAACCATGAGAAAGATGACACTGAACAGGACTTGCTTCCTGGTCACTGTCCATTTCCAGGTTCTTCACTCACAGGGTTTTCTTGTGACTAACCTCTCCTCATAGAACTTTCCTTCTCATAGATTCCCTCTAGAAAGGAGGAGGGGGAATACAGAGGGTCCCTGGAAGGTATAAGGACCAGGGAACAGTGACCTGGAGGTGTCTTGGGAAGATATAGATGGTATACTGATAGCAAGAGGCATTTTTAGGACCCAAGTGCAGTGAACATCACAGAAGTGGACACCCAGGCGGTGCTCCTGAGTTGGTCCTGTCTTCCCAGCCTTACCAGCATTAATCTTTTCAGCAATCTGCTCCATAGTCAGCTTCCGGTCAGTCATGTGCTTCCGGTCCAGCTCCACCCGCAACAACCAGGGGGAGATTCGGGCCACATCAAAGTCAGGCATTTCATAGTAGACATTCACCCACTCCTGATCCTCTGCCACCACTGTGCTTTGGGGATTGGGGTCATAGTAAATGGCTGTGTTGGCAGTCACCTTCCTCAATGTTGTATGCTCTAGGCGGCACAGAATGTCCTGGATAGAGAAAGGGATTCATGACACAGGCATTGGGGTAACTCGAAATGCCTCTTGAAACCATCCTACCAAGGGTATCCCAATCTCCAGATTCAAGGAAAAATTCACCTCCTTTTCTTCCTGCCAAGCCCATTACTCCCTACCTTGGCCCTCTCAGCATCTCGAGCAGACTGGCCCAGCAGGAAGACAGTGAGTGATGGGGTCTTTGGCTTCTTAGAAATGTTGATGAGCTCCTTAAGTCGGGGTACTCCCAGGGTCACATTCTTGGCGGACACACCAGCATAATGAAAAGTATTCAAGGTCATCTGGGTAGCAGGTTCTCCAAGGGACTGTGCAGCCAGAGCTCCCACCATTTCCCCAGGATGGGCCTAAGGAAAGACTAGGGTCAGTCAACACCAATCCTCTCTTCTGGTGAATGACTGGAATGTAGTCAAGGCCAAGACTAGCCTTATTCTTAAAGAACAAGGGGCAGATGAGTTTGGCAAAAGTAGAGAGACTTTTATTTTATTATTATTTATTTATTTATTCACTGGTATCGAGGATTGAACTTAGGGGCATTCAACCACTAAGCCACATCCCCAGCCCTATTTTGTATTTTATTTAGAGAAGTTGTCTCATTGAGTTGCTTAGCACCTCACTGTTTTTGTTTTTTTTTTTTGGTACTGAGGATTGAACCCAAGGGCACCTTTGAACCACATCCCCTATTTATTTTTTAAATTTTGAGACAGGGCCTGGCTAAGTTGTTTAGGGCCTCACTAAATTGCTATGGCTAGTCTTGATTGTAAAATCCTCCTGCCTCAAGCCTCCAAAGTCATTGGGATTACAGGTGTGTGCCACCACAACCAGTCCTCTACATATTCTTTGTACATGAGACTTATCAGACAAATAATTTCAAAGCATTTTCTCCCATCCTGTGATAGCTTTTTACTTTCTTGATGGTGCTCTATGAAGTACAGAAGTTTTAAATTTTGATCAAGTTCAAATTTCCTACTTTTTTCTTTGGTTGTTTATGCTTTGGGGTCATAACTAAGAATCCATTATCTAATCCATAGTTTTAAAGATATAACCCATTTACTTTTATTCACATTATACTTTAACTCTTAAATTTATATCTTTGAAAGATTTGAGGTACTTTTCTTATGTTGTATAAGATAGGGTGGTATCAAACTTCTTTCTTTTCGGCTGAATTTGTTTGTTTTTTCAGGGCCATAGGTTGAACTCGGGGTCTTGCACACGCTAGGCAAGTGCTCTACCACTGAGTTATACCCTTAACCCCCAACTTCATTCATTTGTATGTGGAGATCTAGTGGTCCCAGCATAATTTGTTGTAAAGATTATTGTTCTTCCCCCATTTAATTGACTTGGCACTTAAAAAAAAAAAAATTGGGGCTAGGGATGTGGCTCAAGCGGTAACACACTCACCTGGCATGCGTGGGGCACTGGGTTCGATCCTCAGCACCACATAAAAATAAAATAAAGACGTTGTATCCACTGAAAACTAAAAAATAAATATTAAAAAATTCTCTCTCTTTAAAAAAAAAAATCAAGTGAACACTAATGTGAAGATTTTAATTCTGAACACTGAATTCTATTCTATTGATCTATAAACACATCCTTATGCCACTAACATACTCTATAGCTCTATTATGTTTTTGAAATCAGTGAGTGTGAGTTTTCCAACTTTGTTGTTCTATTTTCTTTTCTTTGCTGAGAATCGAACCCAGTACCTCACACATGCTAGGCAAGTGCTCTACCACTGAGCTACAAACCCAGACTCAACTTTTTTCTTTCTTAAGATTGTTTTGGTGCTTCTGGTTCCCTTGCGTTTCCATACGAATTTCACAATCAGCTCATAAATTTCTGCCAAAAACACAGCTGGGACTTTATGATAAAGATTGTATTGTATCTGTGGATCACTTTGGGGAACAGCTCATTTAACAATATGAAGCATTCCAATCCTTGAACATAGATGTTTTTTCATTTCTTTTTTCAGTGTTGTTTCACAGTATTTCCTAAGGCATTTCTAATTCATTCATTCATTCATTCTAGTACCAGAGGTTAAACCCAGAGGTTCTTGTGCGCTAGGTAAGTGCTCTACCTTACTAAACGACATCCCTGGCCCTTTTTAATTTTTTGGTACTGAAGAATAAATGCCAGGGATGCTTTACCCACTAAACTATATCCCCAGTCCTTTTTTACTTTTTGAGACAGGATCTTGCTAAATTAGTGAAGATAGCCTCAAACTTGTGATCCTCCTGCCTCAGCCTCCCAAGCCTTTTTACTTTTATTTTGAGACAGTCTAAGGTACCAAGTTGGTGTTGAACTTGCAATCCTCATGCCTCGGCCTCCCAGGTAGGTAGAATTACAGGCATGCACCACCATACCCAGATACCTAATTTTTAAGACTGATACCTAATTTATAAGATTCATTTACATCAATCAGATTCAGAGGCATGCATATAATGCTTCCCCTCCTTCCATTACCCTATAAACCCCTTAAATATAGCGAAAGCATGTTCCAGTATCTATAAATCTTTTTTCTACTCATTCCCTCCAATTCCTTATCGCTAAATTAGAATTCTGCACAAAGCAAGCATTTTAGGAAAAAAAAAAGAACAAGGCTACTTCATATTCCCAGTCACACCACTTACTTCCTATATGATGACCATCATAAAATATAAAGTTGTTGTCTAAGCCTCAGTTTTGGCTCTGCCACGTGGGACTAGCAATCTCTCCCCTACTAGGATCATTTTAAGATTGTTATGATATAAAGGCATAATGCACTAAACACAGGTCTTGGTACACAGTACCCTTTCAATAAGTAAGAGTGATTATGGACATAAGTAAACTGTTCTTAGAAACCAGAGAAGCCAATAAGCAAAAAGAAAAATGAGGCCAAGGTGAGAAGCCAATACTCACAATGGCCTGATTGAACTTGGATTCAATCTCCCCAAGCAGCCAGTCAAAAGCCTCTCCACTGAGCCGAAACTCCTCAGCCATGCGGCGGGAGCATAGTGTGGATCGCAGGTGGATGTTGAAGAGCAGTGTGGCATTCTCCTGAGCCTGCCGGCTTAGTGGGTCATCCCCATTCACAATCACCAGCTTCTTGCTCAATTCCTTGACTCCTGGGGCCAAAGAAAGGGTGAAGAGATCATCAGACCAAGGCCAAGCAGACTCCTATCCCCCAGCCTGGCCTGGAAACCCCTAAGCAGGTACTTACCCTCTACCACTTTGATGGGGTGCAGATCAGAGGGAAGGCGAGGGTTGATGTGAAAGATTTTCTGAGCATTCCAGATCATTCGCAGAAGGTTACAGGGGAGAACAACCTGAGAGAGGAGGGAATAGAGAGAAGATTTCAAGTCAAGGACTGCCATCCAGTGGCAGCACCTCCCTAGCCTAGCACTTCCTAACCACACATACCTTGCTGTCACCAGTCGGGAAGATGACCCTAAGCACCTCCCGATCCTCACGCATCCTTTCAAATTCCCGTTCCAGCTCGTTCTGTATATGTGCATTGCTTAGCACATCCTTTACCAGATCCTCCTGCAGAGTTCGCCGCAGGGCCCTCTCATTGGTATAATCGAAGCGGAACCTGAGGTGAAAAGACGATGGATTCAGGGGACAGGAGAGCTCTGGGTTATGTTATTAGCTCTAAAAGGAACAGTGTGAGGCTCTCAAAAGTGTACAGGAAAAACAATTTGGGTGGAACCAACTTAGATGCCCTTCAATAGATGAATGGATTAAAAAATGTGGCATTTATACACAATGGAGTATTACTCAGCACCAAAAAATGACAAAATCATGGCATTTGCAGGGAAATGGATGGCATTAGAGCAGATTATGCTAAGTGAAGCTAGCCAATCCCTAAAAAACAWATGCCAAATGTCTTCTTTGATATAAGGAGAGCAACTAAAAACAGAGCAGGGAGGAAGAGCATGAGAAAAAGATTAACATTAAACAGGGACGAGAGGTGGGAGGGAAAGGGAGAGAGAAGGGATATTGCATGGAAATGGAAGGAGACCCTCATTGTTATACAAAATTACATATAAGAGGATGCGAGGGGAAAGGGAAAAAAATCAAGGGAGAGAAATGAATTACAGTAGATGGGGTAGAGAGAGAAGATGAGATGGGAGGGGAGGGGGGATAGTAGAGGATAGGAAAGATAGCAGAATACAACAGTCATTAGTATGGCAATATGTAAAAATGTGGATGTGTAACCGATGTGATTCTGCAATCTGTATACGGGGTAAAAATGGGAGTTCATAACCCATTTGAATCAAATGTATGAAATATGATATGTCAAGAGCTTTGTAATGTTTTGAACAACCAATTAAAAAAAAAAAGAAAGAAAGAAAAACAATTTGGAAGCAAGATTCCTGGGATAGATCAAGGGTGCCAGGGTTTGAACATGTACCTGCCCCTGTGCCCTTTCCTAACATCACCAGGGAAAAAGTAAGGACAAATTTCAAATCTGCCTCCATTCATCCTCTTCCCCATCAAGTAGCTATTTCAGATGGGTGGAGAAAATGTGCTGAAAAATAAGGCCCACTGCAAGACATTCTTCAGGCCATTTCTCTGAGGGAGTAGAAATCCTACAACTCAGGCCCTAAGATTCAAGAGCATAAACCACCCACTTGCCCGCCTCCTTACTTCTTCTCAAAAGCCTTGTTAGAAGGTTTCAGCGTAGCTAGGTTCTGAAATTCAACACTCTCTCCTGCCAGGCCATCCTCGCCATATCGCAGCTGCACCACCTGGTTGATGGAGTTCCGCACAGTTGCATCGTATTTCACCATCACTGACTCCATGGACTTGATCAGACGCCGCTGGATATACCCTGAGAAGAGGTAATCAACTGAAGGACCCAAGGCAAGGGGGGATGACAAAGCCAAAGACCCAGTCTAGGGCCTCAGCCCACCAGATTATTAGCTAATACCCTTCATTCTCAAGGTCTATCTTTTTTGTAGTGCTGGGAAATGAACCTAGGGCCTCATACACGCTAGGCAAGTTAACCCAAATCACTCCTCAAAGTCTTCTGGCAAAAGTTGTATGTACCATCAAATGGACTGAGTACCCAGTAGATTCCCCTAACAACCATCCCTAAAGTGGTAGGTCAGAAGCAGAGTCCAAGGCTCTACCTCCTACAGTCTGAAAAAAAAAAAAAAAAAAATTTTTTTTTAAACTGTTGGGGTTGGAACCCAGGGCCTCACACATGATAGGCAAGCTTTCTACCACCAAGCCACACCTTTCGCCCTTTATAACTCCTGAGTTTCAGTCTGTTCTTTCCATGAAGGCCAAAATTCCACCAACTGAAACAGAAGCCTTTAGCCTGAGAATCCCAATTCCCTACCCACCACAGTTTCTTAGCAGGCAGTACTTCCTGGAAGTGCCCTGAAGATCTCACCAGTCTCAGCAGTCTTGACAGCTGTGTCGATGAGCCCCTCTCGACCCCCCATGGCATGGAAGAAAAACTCAGTTGGTGTGAGGCCAGCTAGGTAAGAGTTCTCCACAAAGCCACGGCTCTCAGGTCCATAATCATCCTTGATGAAGTGAGGCAAAGTCCGGTGCTTGAACCCAAATGGGATCCGCTTGCCCTCCACGTTCTGCTGCCCCACAACAGCAATAACCTAGGGAACAAAAAAGGTGGGCTGCATCTGCATCTGACTCCTCTTGCCTTAAGAATATGAGTTCCCAAGCTAGGCACAGTGGCACATGACTGGAATTCCAGTTACTTGGGAGGCTGAGGTAGGAGGATCTGAGTTCAAGAATAGTCTGGGCAACTTAGTGAGACCTTATCTAAAAATAGAAAGTTAAAAAGGGCTGGAAATGTAATTAAGTTCAATCCCCAGTACTGCAAAAACAACTATATTGAGTTCCCAATATTTTCCCTAACTTCCTCTACCTTAAAACATACACCCATCTTCCTTTCTCTTCCATAATTCAGTGTAATGCCCTAACTGGAAATACAAGACTCCTCACCTGTGAGTTTTTTTTTTTTTTTTTTTTTTTTTTAATATTTATTGTTTAGTTCTCGGCGGACACAACATCTTTGTCGGTATGTGGTGCTGAGGATCGAACCCGGGCCGAACGCATGCCAGACGAGCGCGCTACCACTTGAGCCACATCCCCAGCCCCACCTGTGAGATGTTGATCTTGGAACCTTTAGCTCCTGACACCACCATAGACTTGAAGTTGTTGTATTCAGACAAGGATTTCTGGGCGGAGGAGCCAGTCTTGTCTCGAGCATCATTGAGAATGCGATTCACTTGGTTTTCAAAAGTCTGACGCAATGTGTTCCCTGGAGTGGGCTCCAGCTCATTATTATGAGCCTTCTCAATGACCTGAAAGTAGAGTTCTCAGTGAGACATCAAGCAATACTCTTTTCCCCTTCCTAAAACTCCTTATACCCATATTGTTCTTGCTGATGTCCAATTCAAAGTCCTAGAGAGCCACTTATTCCCTCTGTCCAGCTTTCCCTCTCACCTCTATTACATCTTGTTTGGCCTTCTTAATAGTGTTCTGAATGTCCTGATAAGTCTTAGAATCAGCAATAGAGTCCCCAATGCCAATGGTATGACCTGGAGATAAAGAGAAGCATGAGTGACACTGCCTTTTGGACTCCTATGCAATAGGGGAGATACTTGAAGCCTTATAAGAAAAGAAGAACACAAGGAGGAAGGAGAAAGAATAGTTTGAAGAGCAGAAGAACAGACCACTAAACTTACCCTCAATGAGGAGCCAGTTGTTAATGACAGTCTGAATATTGGAGTAGAAGAGACGAGTAATGTCATGACCCATCTCTAGGTAGGAGATGTGGACCAAGGAGCCAGCCGAGGTGCCCAGAGACTTCTTACACAGAATGCCCATGATCAGCTCCCCATTCTCCACTACAACCTGTGAAAAAGCACCCATTAAAGGTCTCAGTTCTGAAAGCACTTCCAAATCCTGTCCCCACATGTCCAAAAGTCAGGCCCACCTTGGTGTCCCCAGGAGAGATATGCTTGTAAGGGCCACTGTCCTCGTCATCAGGATGGGTACTATGAGTACGGATACAATTGATATGGCCAGGTATGATAAGAGAGAAGATCTGTTTGCCTGTCCACAGGGGCCGGGGCTTGAGGATGGCTGGCTGAGGGACCTTCCCATCCCATGTAGATAGGAACATTAGGAGGTTCATTACTTCACCCTATGAGACAAATATCAAGAGAGACATAGTCAGAATACAAGCCTCATATCTCAGGAATATCAGGGAGGCTTTCCTACCCCAGGAGGAAAGTCATATTTTGGAGGCAACAAGATACCAAGAAAACTGCCTTCCAAATTTTTAATTAAAAAAATCACYGTAAGGGGCTGAGGTTGTAGCTCAGTGGCAGAGCGCTTGCCTGATACGTGTGAGGCATTGGGTTCGATCCTCAGCACCACATAAAAATAAATAAAATAAAGGTACTGTTTCCAACTACAACTAAAATAAATATATTTTAAAAAATGCTATTACAGTTTTTTTTTTAATTTTTAGTTGTTGAAGTGAGGAAGAACAGACCACTATTTATTTTATTCATTTATTTATATGTGGTACTGAGAATCAAACCCAGGGCCTCGCACGTACTAGGTGAGTACTCTACGGCTGAGCCACAATCCCAGCCCAAAAGGACTTATTTTTATGTTTGCCTAAATAATAAATACAATTTCTTACAATAATTGGGATAGTAAAAATAAAGAAATAAACAAAATTTAACTAGGGTTTATTTATTTTCCCTTCACCTTTATTACATAGAAAATACATTTATATAGAATTAAATTTTAAGGAATTAAACAGGGATCTAAAGTTAAATTATTTTGGGCCTATAATCTTTCCTAATCTCCTTCTTTCTTTCCACCTAACCAGAAAAAGCAGTCTCTCCTAAATACCAGGGCAAAACAAGCCAAGAAAAAAAAACAAAAACAAAAACAGCAGTTCTTCCTTCCTGGCCTCCTCCTCACCTCCCCCAGATTCCCCTTCGCCTTCCCGAGCCTGGTTTCCATTTGGACCACATACCCGCTCCAGGAAGACATCTCTCTTAGTGAATTTGCGCACTGCAGTGAGTGTATCCTGCACGATGCCCATGACGGGTCGATTGCTCTGAGGGGTGACAATCATACGGGGAACCATGGCCAGCTCCTGGATCTCTGCCCTGGTCTCCAGAGACTGTGGCAGGTGCAAGTTCATCTCATCCCCATCAAAGTCTGCATTGTACGGTGTCGTTACACTAAAGTGAAAGAGAAGAAGACGTCTTCAGAAAAACAACCTCAAGAAGCAAGCCTACCTCACACCCTCACCCTAGCCTGCTTCTATTCAGTTAGGGAACTGACCTAAGATTCAAGCGAAACGTAGACCAAGGGAGGATGCGAACCCGATGACCCATCATGGACATTTTGTGCAAGGTTGGCTGCCGATTGAAGATAACAATGTCTCCATCACACATATGCCGTTCCACCTAGGGAAGTAGGATACAGAAAAGGGTTCAATGAAGGAGGGGTAGGCTAAGAATGAAATAACAAGGAACCTAGGCTCCTTTGTAAACTAAAAGAAATGATGTTGTGGTGTTATTCACTTGAAAATACCCACTTTGTGTCAGCCCCTAAGTCAGACACCAGGTTATTAGGGAAAACAAAATGTAGTGTCCAATCTCAAGGAACTCAGTCTGGGGCGAAAACCAAGAGAAAATGAACATGAAACCCTCTGCATTATTCCCCTATGGATTTCTTTTTTCTGAATATGCGCCCCTGGGTAATGTAATCCCCACCCTGGATGTCAATGGCTAGCAGCTACAAACATGCCTGCAACACCAATAGCCTTTTAAAAAGACTGCCAATAATAAATGAACAGAACTGTCTCAGATGGCCTATTCTAGCCAGCCTACATTCCAGAAAGCCTCCAGTTCATGTAGTTAAGAGAGACCTAACCTATCACCTACCTTATAGCCAGTCTGTAGGTGAAGGTCACTGGGCTTGGGGTGGAAACGCAAGTCAATGCGATCGCCATTGTCTCGGATTATATATTTGGCTCCTGGGTACTGGCTATTTCCCCTGCGTACTAGTTCCTGAAGTCTAGAAAGAAAAAAGGTGCAATAAACAAAATGCTTCCCCCAAAGCCCCGGCAACCACCTTTACCCTGAAGCCTCAAGTAAAATCTAAACTTCTATTTTTTTTTTTTAAAGAGAGAGTGAGAGAGRGGAGAGAGAGAGAGAGAGAGAGAGAGAGAGAGAGAGAGAGAGAGAGAGAGAGAGTTTTTAATATTTATTTTTTTTTAGTTCTCGGCGGACACAACATCTTTGTTGGTATGTGGTGCTGAGGATCGAACCCGGGCCGCATGCACGCTAGGCGAGCGCGCTACCGCTTGAGCCACATCCCCAGCCCCAAATCTAAACTTCTAAACAGCAATTCTTTCCCTCCTTACTCTGAGCTCCCTCCCCCATGTGGGGGTAGCACACCTCCCATTTCTTAAATCCTCACCACTGGGGCCACATTCCCCAAGCCACTCCAGGCAGGGCTTCCAGACTGAGGCACACCTGTCAATGTTGAAGGGGGTGACAATCTCTGCAAAGGTCATATTGGCAGCAATGGAGCGGGGCACGCCAACTTGGTCAATGGATAGGTTGGGGTCAGGGGTGATGACAGTGCGGGCTGAGAAGTCCACTCGCTTGCCCATCAAGTTCCCTCGCACCCGGCCTTCCTTGCCCTTCAAGCGCTGCTTCAGGGACTTGAGAGGACGTCCAGACTTTTGCATGGCCTGTGAGAAAACATGAAGAGGTAGCAACCCAGCAATCAGTCTGGATCCTCCTCCAGATCTCTGCTATCCCCCACCCTGCTCCAATCCATAGGGGCCAGGGAATATGCAGACGCACACGGGGCAAGCCAGGCAGCTCATTGTCCACCATGGTGGCTACATGGAACTGAAGGAGCTTCACATCCTCTGCAATGACATGGGCTGCTGCCCCATTCTGTTCATTCCTACGTAGCTGATTGTTGATCTTCACGATGTCAGCCAGTTTGTGAGTCAAATCATCCTGAGAGGGAAGTTAACAATATCAAAGTCCAGCCGCCAATGACTAGGCTCTCAGCATGTAAGTGCTAGGCAAACAGCAAAACTCTGCTTCACTGAAAGAGGCAGAGGCAGGCCTACTTGCTCTCATTTTACCGATACAAAAGTCCCTTGATGACCTTTAACCTCATTCAAAGTCATCCTTAAAGATCACACAGCAAACAAACAGGAGACATTTTCTAACTTAGATGTGTCTATCTGGCCCTGTACACATGCCATACCTACAGGGCTCCTCCCTCTCAGACACCTGGCTATTCACCCAAGAAACATAGTCCTGGAGCCACAGACCTGGTTGCGGGCAGAGCCTTGCATCACTACAGCAGGCCGCACTGAGAGTGGGGGGACAGGCAGCACTGTGACAATCATCCACTCAGGCCTAGCGTAGCGGGGCTCCATGCCCAGCACAAAACACTCCTCGTCTGAGATGCGCTTGAAAATCTCATGCACTCGTTCTGGACTCAGCAGGATCTTCTTCTCCTGAGAATCCTCATTAACATGTTTCCACTCAGCATACAGCTCCAAGCCTGAGCGACGGATCCGGGGTTGATACCGCCCACAGCCACCATGGCCCTTTAGAGAAGAGACAAGGGCCATTAGAACCTGAACACAGGCTATTTCCACCACACCAGGCCAGCCCTTCCCACTCCCCCATGTCCTTTTAGTTCCTGACTTTTCTGCAGCCTTCTCCTTTCTTCTAGGCCTCTATATGACCTCCTCTGGCCTCTCCTTCCCCATAATCTCTGCCAGCCCCAGTTACCTTCTCTTTGGTCAGATCCTCATCACCCTCAGGCTGCTCCACGCCGAACTTGTTGTCCATCTCCTCCCCACCCTCACAGATGTTTTTGCCCTTGCAAAGGTCGTAGACATGTGTGAGCCTCTTCTTGGGCTGCCCCTTGGATTTGGCCAGGATGTCCTTGATCTTTGGGTTGTTCTGGAGCAGAAGAGAGCAGGGTCAATTGGAGCTGCCCTCAGCTTCCCATCCAGCAGTCCCCCTCCCAGGCCAGGGGCTGTCCCCAACTCACAGAGTCCACAAGCAGTTTGGAACAAAAGAAGCAGACACAACGCAAAACCTTCATCGTCTTCACCAGGAAGCCCACGTGAAACACAGGCTTGGCCAGTTCGATGTGGCCAAAGTGCCCAGGACATTCTGTCATGTTCCCTGTGTAAACAAGCATGTGACACTTTCCTCCAGCTCCCAGTAACTTCAGAGACTAGGCCTTCAAGTGTCTACCCTAGTCCTGGCTTTTTTTAAGAACCTGAACCTCTCTTTTTCGCTTGGGAATCCCTTAACACTTACCTGCACAGGTTTGACAGCGACCGGTCCTTTCAATCACTCCCTGCCTTGGATCCATTAGTCCCCCAAGCTTGGGGCGGCCTCCCTCAGTCGTCTCTGGGTATTTGATACCACCCTCTGTCACAGACATCCGCTTCTGCAGAAAAGAAAGGCCAGCCAATAACAACTATATGGGATTCCTAGTTTCTAGCCTTCTTGGCTGGAGAGTCCTATATGAAGACCCAAGAATCCCAAACCACTACAAAAGAATTAATCGCATTTAACCTGGGATGAGCAGATGGTGGGGCACACCTCTGGAAATGCCAAAGGTGAATATCATAAGTCAAAAGCTGGTTCCAACACTGCTGGGGGGTTAGGAATAAGGTCATACCTGAGTGTAGTGGACCTCAAACTCCATACAAATCCCCCATCTCTAGAACTAGAACCCTAGTCATTTCTGGTTTTTTTTTTTTTTGGGGGGGGGGCGGGGGCTGGGGAGGGCAGGCGGTATTGGGGATTGAACTCATGAGCATTCACCCATTGAGCCATATCCCCAGCCCTATTTTGTATTTTATTTAGAGACAGGATCTCACTGAGTTGCTTAGCACCTTGCTTTTGCTGAGACTGGCTTTGAATACACAATCCTCCTGAGCCACTGGGATAACAGGCATGCACCACTGCACCCGGCTCCTCTGGTTTTAATTCTAAGTCACAGACATTCAAAGGATTTAACCATAAAAAGAAATAAAAGTTCCTTCAAGGGGAGTAAAAACCAATGTATTATTTCTTCTCCCTCTTGAAATTAAGCCCGCGAATCTGAGAACATAACTGAACAGTCCCAAGACATGCCCCACCAATTCTTAACTTCAGCTCCTGAAGAGAAACAAGGGACCTGGAGATACAGTCTTGCCTCTTTACTCCATCATTGTCACTCTCTCCTCAAGGACCTGAATTGCCTAAACTATTCCACATCTAGATGAAGATGTTATTTTATCACAGAACCAGGTGCTAGGACTGGTTGGTGGAACAAAAATGAATAGCTGGAAACCCCAGAAACATGGAGCCAGGACTCAATGGGGCAATTCAGAGAAGGAAAAGTGGGGAGATGGAAGAACTTTTAAAAAGTAGTCGAGTTGGAGGGGCTGGGGTAGCGGCTTCAGCGGTAGAGCACTTGCCTAGCAAGTGCAAGGCCCTGGGTTTGATCCTCAGCAACACATAAAAATAAATAAAATAAAGGTATTACATCCAACTACAACTAAAAAATAAATATTAAAAAAAAAAAGTAGTGAGTTGGAGAAGACATTTCTGCCCTGGGCTAAAGGCARGTGAGGCAATCTTTAGCATCCTTTCACACAATAAAAACTCAAAAGACTTTTAGGGACTGGGGTTGTAGCKCAGTGGCAGAATGCTTGCCTAGTACACGTGAAGCACCAGGTTTGATCCTCAGCACATTAAAAAAAAAAAAAATCATGATTTTTAAATTAGTTTAGGCTTTTTGGTTCACTAACCTTCCATAGGGATGAAATTCAAGAAATTTATTAAAAGCTTCTATTTATGTCAACCTTGAGCTAGGTACCAACCTTCTCTAATTCCAATCACTGTTTCTCTAATCCCAACCATTGATCTCCCAGGAATGAATTCCTATCTCCAGAAATTTCATACCAGGGGCTGGGGTTGTGGCTCAACGGTAGCGTGCTTGCCTAGCATGTGCGAGGCGCTGGGTTCAATCCTCAGCTCCACATAAAGATAAATAAATAAGGTATTGTGTCCAATTACAACTTAAAAAATATTTTTAAAAAATCTGATACTACATGAAGTTATTCACCCAAGGACTCAAGGAACTAGAAGAAGTCAAATCCAATTCTCTCTGGAGCCAAATACAGGCTCACCCCACTYTCCTATGCTTCTGGAGAAATAATTATTTAAACTCTAAAATATAACCTTTCTTTTTTCTTCTCTTTTTGTGGTACTAGGAATTTAACCCAGGGCCTCAAGCACTAATCTACATTCCAGCATTTTATTTTTTATTTTAAGACAGTTGCACAGGATAGCTCAAACTTGTGATCCTCTGGCCTCAGGCTCCTGAGTAGCTGAGATTACAAGTGTGTACCACCATACTCAGCTACAAAACATCCTCTTAATGTCAGGTGCTAGTTGATTCGTTTTTATCTTCACAACTAACATAAAATAAGCATCATTACTTTCATTCTAAAGATTGTAGAACTTGAGGCCCCAAATTTTCCTAAGATTACACTGCTGCTAAGCCAGCGACTCCACTCTGCCTCATTCAAAGAACCCATCTCAGTTCTCAGCTTGCTGGCCTATGACACAAACAGGTTGTTTACTTGAAGTTCTCTTTCTGTTCCAACACACACACCCCACCGCCGCTGCTGCTTTGTCTCCTTCTGAGGCTCCTTGGCCATGATATGCTCTGCTACTCTCCATACTTACCTAATCCATGCTTCTCGCTCTCTCTCTCTCTTTTTTTTATTTATTTATTTTTCAGTTTTTGGCGGACACAACATGGTTGTTTGTGTGTGGTGCTGAGGATCAAACCCGGGCCGCACGCATGCCAGGCGAGCGCACTACCGCTTGAGCCACATCCCCAGCCCATAATCCATGCTTCTCATTGCACCCTCAATGATGTCCTGTATATCAGGACATCATCAGTACTGTCTACTCTGATAACTCACAATCTTTACCTCCAGGTCCAATCTTTCCTATGAGCTTTGAAATCATATATTTAACTATTTACTAAAACTCTTCAGTCATCCCATTGATAAGTTAAATTCAACATGTCTAAAAGCAAGCTCTCTTCCCCACAAAAAGCTCTCCTTTTTTTTCACTTCCCATCTCAGGTGTAAATCCCAAATTAGAAATCTGTACTTATCTTTCCTTATCCTCAGGCATAAAAGGTTGAAACTATATGTTGGCTCTGTAGTCAAAAATTTCTGATCTGGAATTCTGGTTCTGTTCTTATGAACTATAATCATTAAGGATTTAATTAGCCTGCTTAAGCCCAGGATATAACAGGTATCCAATATATGGCTGCCATTACTACCTAATCATTCACCAAGTGCTGGTCATTTTGAATTCTTAAATATTTCTTGAATCTTGCCCCTCCCTCTTTTCTATCCCTACAACCACTGTACTTGTCCAGGTTTTTCCTTTTTTTTTTTAAATATTTATTTATTCATTTATTTTTTAGTTATTGGCAGACACAACATCTTTGTATGTGGTGCTGAGGATCGAACCCAGGCCGCACGCATGCCAGGCAAGCGTGCTACCACTTGAGCCACATCCCCAGCCCCAAGTTTTTCCTTTATAGAACATATTCATGGGTCAACAACCTGTCTCTCTTCAATATATCCACACAACTGGGTGCTCCTTCTAAAACAGAAACATAATCATTGTTGGAATTAATTCCAAACTCAGCAAAAGAAAGAGGATTTTATGATCTCCCTACCTTCATTCCCATGCTCCACACCTGTAGACTCCTCAGTTAACAATACCTCAATAACAATTCCTGTGGTTCTCTTATCACTCAGCACAACTGGGTAACAAACTTCTCTGGTGCTTTACATCACTGGTGCCTTTCCCTGTTCTCAGAAGGCCCTTTGTATTAGATACACTGGCTCCAAGACTTACCTCAGGCATTGCTTCCTTCAGGCATCCTTTTCACAGACTCCCCAAGACAAGACAGCTTTGTGCTTCTAAAGCCCCTATATTTCGGCACTTCTGACAATGCAATGAAGTTACCTATTAGGGGTGTGTCTTCCCTATAAAGACTGTGAACACCTCTCAGGTAGGCTTCTATCAAAAGTTTGTTAAAATGAACTACACTGCATAGGACCTTCCTCTGGAGCCAGGTGCCCTCAAAGAGCTTACAAAAGAGAGTAGTTTTCCCTTGAATAAAACTACTAAACACCCTCATAATAGATCTGATTAGTCATGGTTGGGTAGAGACCAAAACAGTTTCCTAAAATGCAAGTCTGAGGAGAGTTCCCAAAACTCCCATGAAGTTATCTGGTGACACCTCAGGAGACGGGCTTGGTGTATGACTAAATTCACAAAGCTGGAAACTCACCAGCTACTAAGATAGGTATTTTGTTCACTTTGAATGAAACACACATAGAGAAGCAGGCATGAAATCTGACCACCAGAACAGACACTACAGAGAGACCTAAGGGAAATCACTGAAAACTTTTCTACTTCCCTCTGCTCAAAGCCCATGCTCACTAAATCAACCACCCCTCTAATGACCAATTCTGCTTTCAGGCGTTCAGAGACAGGACAACTGACTGTCCTAGAAAGCAGGCATGAAAGTTCTGGTTAATGGGAAGGACTATCCCTCCATCATAGGTTAACAAATTGTCATTTGGAATTATACACAAACTACTTTAGCCTTCAACAGAGGACTAGGTCTCACCATCTACAGGTCAGAGGTTAGATTTCTGAAGAGGTAGCTAGTTGGAGGCTAGGTTGTCCTGCTATTTATTCTGAGATTACAAAACAAAAGGCTACCATAGAAGCTTAGTAAATATTTTTTGTCTTCTCCCTTTAGCACACCAAATCAAGTCCTCACAACTTGGATTCAGTTCTATGTGGTACCACATTCTCCACCCCTCCCCCATATTTATGTTCCAGTTATAAATTTCTCTAAATTCCTTTGGCTTTCCATGTCCCCTTTTCAAGTAAACCTCCATTTATTCATATGACTTAGCTCAGATGTTCCCTCCTGGTGAAGCCTTCACTCACTATGAGCTATCCTTATCTATGCCACCAAGGTTCTAAGCAAAATTTTAACTACTTTCTTACACATCTATCACTCCCACTGGATTGCAATCCTTGAGGACAAAGATCATGTTTATTTATCTTTATATTCTCATTGATGAACTAAGTAGTCACTAGCACATGGTAGGGGCCCAGAAACTATTTGAGATCCCTCATTAGATAATAAATAATTTGGGCTGGGGATGTGGCTCAAGCGGTAGCGCACTCGCCTGGCATGCATGCGGCCCGGGTTCGATCCTCAGCACCACATACAAACAAAGATGTTGTGTCCGCCGAGAACTAAAAAATAAATATTGAAAATTCTCTCTCTCTCCTCTCTCACACACACAAAAAAAAGATAATAAATAATTTGAAAACAAGGATAATCTTCTTCATTAATTGTATCCCACACTCTTACCTAAAGGAGTACATTCGGAACTGAAGGTGTAGCTCTTTGGTAGAGTTCGAGCCAAAAAAAAAAAAAAAAAATCCTAGCACCAACCCTCCTTGCTTCCTTCCCTCACACAACAAACCATTTTCATAACAGCAAAGACAACAGCTCTATAATAAAGCCAATTTAGTCTTCTGTACCTCAATCCCCCACTCCCACCCCTCATGACTTTTAGAGACCACACTAGCATTAAATACCACCTGCTCCACAAAAGGCCTCTTACTCTTATCCATCCTCCCACCTCAAAGTGGAACCATCTGTTATTCCCTCAAAAACAGGCATGCACACTACATAAATTGCAAGCCACGGAAAACAAAAAGTCCCCCATATTCCTCTACTCTAGAGATGATTCCCTCAATTTTGTAAGCAGTGTTCCATCATTTAAAAAAAAAAAAAAGCTAATCTGTTCTTATTTTAACATAAARAGGGTCTCATTCTGCATACTGTTCAGTTATTTTTTCATTTAACTGGAGATTTCCTAACATTATCAGTTCAGAGTTCTTAGTGTTCCAGTAACTTTCACAGCAATACTTAAGCCAAAAAAAAAAAGCCACTTATTAAGTACCTTAGCACCCATTAATAATCCAGCTTCAGTGGGGCATGGTGATGCATGCCTGTAATCCAAGAGGCTTGGGAGGCTGAGGCAGAGGCAGAAGGATCCTGAGTTCAAAAGCCAACCAACCTCAGCAAAAGCGAGCACTAAGCAACTCAGGGAGACCCTGTCTCTAAATAAAATACAACAGGGCTGGGATGTGGCTCAGTAGTTGAGTGCTGCTAAATTCAATCCAAAGTACAAAAAAAAAAGGCCAGCTTCACCAAGGTATGTCATCATCCAAAGGGAACTGGCGCCATCTAATGCTGAAACGGAACTACCTGGAACCAGGGTACCTATGCTTTTCTGTAGAATTAAAAACACCTCACTGAGTTTGCTGTTGTGCCGCAAGTGTACCAGCACAATTGGGAATAGATTTAACCTAGTGGGACAGTGCTTTTCTGATCTAAGACCATACTCTGAATCACACAATACAGTTCCTATTAGTAAATATTTAGGTGGTTCATAATTCTGATTTTCAAACAGTTAAAATTTCTTCTGTGTGTCTCCACACAATCATTCACTTATTTATCCAACTACTTTTTATTACATGCCGGGTACTATTTGAAATGCTGAGGGAATAGAGGTGAATAACAAGGTTCTATCAAGGGTGCAAGAATGACAGCCCATGGGGCTGGGGATACAGCTCAGTTGGTAGAGTGCTTGCCTTGCATACACAAAACCCTGGTTCAATCCCCAGCACCAAAAAAAAAAAGACAGCCTATGAAGGAAAATAAATAGAAGGCAGAGGTTAGAGAATGCAGGAATATGCTATTTAAATAGGGTGGTCAGGGTAAAGCTCCTAACATCTGAGGAGAGAGATACTGACATAAAGGAATTAGCATGTGGACATTTGGGCAATGTAGTTCCAAGCAGCAGGGACAATGAAAAACAAAATCTGAGGCAAGAATAAGCTTTCAGTTGTCAAGGGACAAGCAGGTCAGAGTGATCAAAGAAAAATAAAGACAAGACTGGTACTGAGATGGAGAGGCAAGCAGGGGCCAGATAATACAGGACCTAACAGGTCTCAGAGTAAGGAATTTGAATCCTCAGGAGAGGATTCCATGTAGGGAATGGAAGAGATGAGATTAAATGATCTCTTTAGTCTGTTCTACCTCTTCTGCAAAATGCAGGAAAAACAACTGGGGTCTAGGCTAGCCCCAGGGGAAAATGGTGGAGTGGAACATAGTGGAGATGGTCATAAATGGCTGGATTCCAAGTATATTTTGAAGGCAGAACAAACTGGCAGATGGAGTCAGTAGTAAAAAAAAGAGAAGAATCAAAGTTAGCTATTAGGTTTTGGCCTGAACAAATATATAAATGGAAAAGCCATTTATTGAACAGGCAAAACAGGGGGAGGGGCATGTTTCAGGGGAGAAATTAAGTTTTTTTTATTTAAGAATAAAATTTTAAAAGTGGCAATGTTGAGTCAACAGATATACACATTAAAAGACTGATAAAGGGGCTGAGGCTTTAGCTCAGTAACAGAGGGCTTGCCTACCATGTGTGAGGCACTGGGTTCAATCCTTAGCATGGCCTATAAATAACTAAACAAAATAAAGGTATTGTTCAGGGCTGGGGTTGTGGCTCAGCGGTGGAGCAATAGCCTAGCATGTGTGAGGCCCTGGGTTCAATCCTCAGCACCACATAAAAATAAATAAATAAAATAAAGGTATTATGTCCAATTACAACTAAAAAATAAATATTAAATAAAGATATTGTTCATGTACAACAACAAAAAAGACTGATTAAGTTGCCACACTGTCCTCAAAAAGAAAAAATTTACATGAATTTATTTTTTACCAATAATATGTAAGCATGCCTATTTCCTAGTTTTTTTTTTTCCTTCTTTGGAACTGGAAATGGAAACCAGGGTTTTGTGAATGTGGGGCAAATGCTTTGCCACTGAGCTACATCCCATCCCTATTTCAGGGTGTTTTTGCCAGCAGGAAAAATAGTTTTAATTTGTATGTTTTTATTAGTAATTTCAATGCATTTTTATGGCTGTGAACTGTCTATTCATGATGTTTATTCATTTTTCTGGAGACATGCACTTTCCTTTCATGTAAGTATCCCTTGTATGTGTATAATAAATCTATCTTTATACATTATATTGCATATATTGTCCGTGGTGCCTCTGATAAACAGAATTGGTTCTTATTTTTATGTAATAAAATCTACTTTGCTCCTCCTTGTATGTATAATGCTTAGCTCATTTTAGGTTCACCATAAAATCTGCCTTTATTTAATTCATTATTACTAAAGTTCTGCCTCTGGTACAGACCCCCAAAAGCCACCTGTATTTTTTGTTAAATATTAACTTCATCTAAATTTATTCTGTGGTATGACTGATGTGAGGTCACGATAGATGGGTACATCTAACTTACTACCAACTCAGTGCCTTTCCATAACATTACTCCCATTTCGCTTAACTCAAATGTTTGTCCACCTCCTCTGCCTCTTCAGACAGAATATGCTCTAAAAGGCAAGGTACCCGTCTGTCTCTTGAAGCTAGCTGTGCATCCCCAGCGACTGTTGTGTCTGCCGCATAACATTTGCTCAATATTTGTAGCAGGGGAGGGAAAAATACCTGGGGGTCGGTTTCCTATTCGAACTTAGTTTTTAAACTCTAGGATTCATTTCATCTCGTTTAACATCGGTAATTCACCCACACGCTAAGCTTGCTTAAAACCTTACGAAACTTATCTGGGAGCCCCGGGGCTGGACCCTGAAAGGCCTCAGCGCCGCTAACCCATCTTCCCTGCCGGTCACTTGTGGGCAGTGAACAGCGTCAAGTTTTTGCAGTCACTGTTGGGTCCCGCCCTCCGGCGCAGGAGATAATTAGAGGAACAGGGCACGGCAGCTTACCAGCTCATCCGGACTCAGGACTCCGAACTGCACTCTCTTGATGGTGCGCAGCGGGCATGCGCTGTCCCCGGAGGGGGGACCACCCCCGTGCATGGCAGAGGAAGGCGCGCTGCGCAGGCGCAAACCTCGCTACAAAAAGCCTGCGCCGCCTCCGCCTAGGTGCTCAGACCCTGTCGGGGCGGCCACAGGGAAGGACCTCCCTGAGTTGGGAGTTAAAAGTCGGAGGAGGGAAAGGTGGGGGAGGGAAGGAGGCGGGGAAATGAAAAAGAACGAAAGGAAACCTTCTCCCCCTTTCCGGAGATTTTTCGGCTCCCAAAAAGGAAAAAAAAAGGGGGTGGGTAAAGGAAAAGGTTTTGGGGGAGAGGAAGAAGAAAAAGGGTAACGAATAAATAAGTAACCGGGTTCCTGAACGGCAGAAGTTACGGCAGTTTGTCTCTCCCCCTTCCGGGAGCCGCCTTCCTCTCCAACCGTCCCGGTCGCGCTCTCGGCGCTTCTGAAGAGCGAACTGGCCGAATGACACCCTTTATAGATTCGCCCCTGCATCCCCGCCCCTTCCTTTCCCGCCCTCCCTTGCGCTACGGGGCCGCCTGCGCCGGCCCGCACGGGGCGCGCGCTGGAGTCGTTGATCCTCTCAGGATCTCTGGTTGGGAGACCTTTTGAAATGACAGGGGGAGGGCAATTTTTCTAATCCCACCCCCTCCCCTCTCTGCTCCCTCTTGCACTGAGGTTTGAAGGATCGAGGACAAAATTAGGCCTTTTTAATTCTACTTTGGWGTATGGTTTCATCTTCAGCAAAAGTCTCTCATTAATATCCCCCTCATCAGGAAAATGGTCTGTTCCGCGGATCGGTAATGGAGGCGGGGCCGGTCGGGTCCTCCAGAGTAGGTTCCCGGAGGAGTGCTGGGTCCGTCCTTGATCATGAATATGCAATTTCTCGTTGAATATGCATGAACAGATCAAGATGGCGAGTTCAATCGTTTGTCCGGAAGTAGGCAGTATTTGTCGAGCGGCTTTCAGGAATGAGTGGGCATCTCCTGGTCTCAAATCGAGCGCTGAATTCAGCTTTGGTGCTGGATCCTCGGGCTGAGCCGTTCGAAGAGGCCTCAGCTCAGAGGCCTGCTCCGGAAGGAGGCTAGCAACTGTCTGGGAGAGATCACGGGACCGCAACAATCCGGGAAAAGCAGATTAGCCATGGGGCGGAACACGAAAATCCTAGGGGATTTGGCGGGGGGTTGGGTAGGGGGGAGTGTCAAGGAATCTGAACATTAGGAAATCCTCCACTTTGTAGGATATTTCAGAAATAAGATTGGGGGGGCGGGGATCCCAAGGGATTCTCCAATAAGAGAGGTGTAGGACTTCCACCCTCCCTCCAAAGCAGAGATGACACCGACTGCATAGCCACATTCAGAATGATCCTTGTTTGATGTCAGTGTCACGTCACCACCCTGGGAGGGGGGCACAACCATGAGGAAAGGAAACCATCGCCTAAGGAAAAAGGCACACTCCCCTCCCCCAGTGCAGCTGCTGGCTCTGTCTGTTAGCCTGAATGCCCGCTGCTGGCACACTTCTGCCCCAATGCTCTTCTCTGCTGCAGTGGAGAATCCTTCCGGTGGCCCACAGCCAGCCTGCATCAGCCCCTTGGATCTGAGAACTTACTCCTTATAGTTGTGCCCTGATTCACAGGACCTAGCCTTGACTCCATATCCCTTGGTCCCCAGGCTTGTTCCAGATCTTCCGAATATCCCTCTCCACCTTTGACTCTGAGGGGTGTCCCTCTCCCACACCAGTTGTTCTCCAGTCACTTGTACGCCCATGTTTATATTCCAGTCTCTCCTCCTATTTACCCCTGTCCCCCCCCAACCCCCAGGCTCTCAAGTTTGATGGCATTCCTCCACCTGCCCTTCCCTCTCACAGCTGAGGTTCTGGGCAGTGATGATGGCAATGCTGCCCAACACGACCCCTGCCCCCATGATATCAGAAGGTGCCACAGTTTCATAGAGGACATAATACTGCAACATCAGGGCCACTACCACCTCAGAGTGCAGGACAGCGCACACCAGGGCAGGGTGGGCCTTGGTGACTGCATAGCTCACACACACAAAGGAGACCAAAGCAAGGATCCCCACTGCTCCCACACAGCTCCAACTCAGAGGGTCATTGGGTAGCACAGGGGTCTGTAGCAGAAAGAGGCCTGGCACAGAGCCCAAAAGCCCCACCAATCCAAATAGGAAGGCCACTGTTGGTAGGCAGGAGGGGAAGTGCAGGGAGCGGTAGACCAGAAGCCCCAGTGATAGAGCCAGACCTCCTAGGAAAGCCAGCACATAGCCTAGGGCAGTGTAGAGGCCTGTGGTCCCCTCCTGCAGTGTCCCTAGTCCAGGTCCCACAATGATGATTAATCCCAGGGTGCTACCCAACAGGCCACACCAGTCGTAGCCACTGAGACCCTGACTCTCAAGGCAGAGGGCGAGGAGAGCGGAGCACACGGTAGAAGAACCTTTACGAACAGTGGCAGCATTGCCAGCAGGCACCACTTGAACCGCACTGTAGGCACATCCGATGCTGAGGACGTTGAGCAGAGCATGGAGGAAGGCCCGGCCCCGGACATCAGGAGGTCCCAGCAGAGGGTCACCACGCAGCTTAAGTAGCAGGGCAATGGGGAGGTGGAAGAGGCATCGACCGATGAGCAGCTCCAGCGAAGGCAAGTGGGAAGCCTGGTAAGCCATGCGGGAGAAGGGGCCTACGAAGCCAGCAGGCAGACCCCCACCCAGCAAGGCAACAAGCAGGCCCTTGGTTGCATCCGAGGGCCAGCAGCGCTGGTTCGAGGGGAGGTTGGGCGGAGTGGAGGCCGGCGATGGCTGGGTGAAGTCCGGCAGGTTGAAGTAGGGGTGACTGCCAGCCTGTTAGGGAGAAAAGAGCTCGAGCATGAGGGCAATCACAGCCCAAGGTGAATGCCAGGCTGGGGTCTGGGACCCTGCAGAACTCAAAGGACATAAAATATCCTGAAAAATAGATGTAGTGGTACAATGTGGGCCTTTAGCATCTAAATCAGGAAGTCGGGAGTGAGTGGTGCAGGAGTATGAGTATCCTGTTTTTCTGGGTAGTTCAGTCTTGAGAGGAGAAAAAGAAGGACCCAGGGATGCTCTGTTGATTTGAGAAAGCAGAAGTAGCTTCTGATGCTGTGTAGATGCTGTGTATCTGTGTGATGTCACAAGCTCTAGGGACATGTGGGTACATCATTATGAGTTCATTTTTATGTGTCTCTAGGACCACTGGCAAGTTTTAGGGGAGAAGAAGGGAAGTTACTAGGAGCAGAATGTTGTATTCTCTATGCCCCTTATGCCCTCTGGCCCTTATACTCACCATCTTTCCTTGGACTTCCTCCTCTCCTCCTGGCTCAGGGGGCCTGAGCCCCTCAGAGCTCCAGCCATTGTGACCTGGTTGGAGTGGGGGTAGAGTTCTTCTCTGGAACCTTCCTGGAGTGGGGTGGAGCTATCTTCTCATGAATTCCAATTCTGCTTGTTTCATCTTTGTTTCCATGACTCCAAGGTGTGTCTGATTCCCTCTCTCTCTCTCTCTTTTTTTGTGTGTGTGGTACTAGGGATTGAACTCCGGGACTCTCTACCACTGAGCTACACCCCCAGCCCTTTTTATTTTTTATTTTGAGAAAACATCTTCCTAAGTTGCCAAGGCTGTCCTTGAACTTCCAATCCTCCTGCCTCAATCTCCCAGGTCCCTCAGATTACAGGCATGAGCCCCTGCTCCCAGCTTTTCTCTATTTATTGTTGTTGTTCTGGAGATTTAACCCAGAGCACTCTACCACTAAGCTACACCCCCAGATTTTTATTCTTTCTTAAAAATTTGAGTCAGGGTCTCACTAAATTACCTAGGTTAGCTTCAAACTTGTAATTCTTCTGCCCCAGCCTCCCAAGATGTTGTTATTACAGGCATGTAATTTCTCCTTGAATGGCTCTGTGATACTTCTTTGGCTTTAGATTCATTTGTTTGTCTTGCTTTGTTTCACAAAGATTTTAAGGAGAGGAGCTCTGAGGTCTGACTCCTCTCTCCTGAGTTCTTTCCAGAACCAGGGAGGAGTCTCTGGGATTGTCCCTCTGGAGTTTCAGGAATGTGTTTCTTCTGTGTGTGCTTTTTCTACCTGGTGTTTTGATGGTGCTGTCCAAGGAGGCCCACACCAGGGCCTCTGCATTCATGCACAAAGTATTATCGATGTGGATATTTCCACTAGTGGAGACAAAGTACAAAGCTGTGCATTCATCTGCACTGGTGRTCACTGATGTGTGCTTGTTTTGTGTGGCTTGGGGTATTCCTTGTCACAGGCCTGGTGGCGTACCTTGAGCATTTCTGGTGTGTCTAAGGCATGTGGGTCTGCCATGTTGTATATATATGGCCCAGAGAGTGTGTGTACACTATTAGGCGATTAGATTGCACCCCTTAGTGAAGGGCGTGATGGGGAAAAGGCAGAGAGGGGGTGTCCCTTCCCAGGGAGTGGGTGGCTGTGTGTCCCTGCAGGGACACTGCAGCCCGGCCCGCGCCCGGCTGTTTCATCCTCCCGGTGGCCCGGCGCCGCGCGTTTCCCTGCGCGCGATCGGCAGGGCGAAGGCCGTCGTACATTGGAGCCTTGTGTCGGTGTCTGCTGCGCTGCGCCGGCCTCCTCTCGGCGGCGGCGGCGCTGGGGGGGGACTGTTTCCGGGGGTGGGGGTGGGGGTAGGACCGGGGCGGGGGGGGGGAGCCGATGATGTCAGCGGCGGCGGCGGCGGCGGCGGGGCCGGGCCGGGGCCGGGCGCTGGGGGGGGCCAGGGCCGGAGCCGGAGCCGGAGCCGGAGCTGGAGGCGGGCGAAACCGGAGCGGCCGGGGGCGGCCACGGTGATGAGCCGGGCCTGGCGGACGCGGCGCCATCGCAGTCAGGTGGGCCCCGAGGCGAACCGGGCAGGGCCAGGGCGGACCGGAGCCAACTGCCGGGCCCCCTCCCCGCTGCCCGGCGCCGTGGGGGCCCTAGCCGCGCCCCGAGCCGCTACCGCTCCCCTTTGGAGTTGACCTGGGGGCTCAGGGGTCGGGGACTGAGCCTGGCCCCGCCCCCGGGTGCGCACAGCGCTGGGGGGCGACTAAGGGGGCCCTGGTATGGCGTCCGAGGGAGCGGTGGACTGGGGACGCGATTGCCCCGGACTGTGGAAGGGGCCGTACTCACTCCCGCTTTGAAGGGTTAATTCTGCAGCCTAAAGTCCCCCTCCCCGCGGGGGGCAGGTTGGGGGTGGGGTGGGGCGGGTGTGAGCCCAGGCGAGCGCTGCAAGCTGCTGGGAGGGTGATGGCGTAGGAGACAGGCAGAGAGGGGGAGGGGTGGGCCTCTGAGCGCCCCAGAGTTGGGGTGTGCGGGGTGCGCGGGGTGCGCAGTGTGAGCAGGAGCACTGGATCCACCGCGCCGTCGGGGCAGGGTTGTGGCTGTGAGTCTTGGAGATTGTGTCTCCTTCAGTGTTGTGGGGCAAGGTAAACCGCTCTGGGGCACCACCGTTTGCTCCTCTGGCAGTCAGGGGCCCAGGTTGGGCCCTGCCTGGGCCATAGAGATAGAAGGCCCGGAGGGGTGTCCAGTGCTGTGGGGCAGAATTACTTACAAGATGTGGCCCTATGGCTTTGGGTGACAGATGGGCATTCTAAGCAGGGTACAATACGCTGAATGCGGAGTTTGTTCGTTGTGAGGTTGTATGTATATTTTCCATTAGCCTGTGTTTTCTTGCACGTATGTCTTGTGCTGCACATATGAACTGTTTATGCTTGCTTGTTCTCTGCATAGCTAGCATGGTGTACTTCTTATGGAAGGCTCCTGAATGCAGGGTGTATGTGCCCATTTGGAAGGGGCAGTTGTGTACCTTTGAGTTAAGGTATCACATCTGGGTGTCGTTTCTGTGGTCCTGCCAAGGTGTGGTCCACTTGTGGTGAGGACAGACTGATGGATGGGTTTGTACGGAGTGAGTTGCATGGGGGCCACACATCTAGAACTCAGATCCCATGTATCACAAGGGGATTGATTAAACCCCAGGGTGTGTCTCTGGTTCCTGTGGGTCAGCTGGCATTGGTGTGAAAGGTTCTGGGTGGGATGTGCAAGTTGTGTTTATGGCATCATGGGCAGCCAAGCAAAAGGAAGGTTGTGTGTTTGCAACATTCTCTGCGGGATTCTTTTGTGACGTTGTTTGTGGGAGCCTGTCCGAGCTGTTGGGCTGGGAGGCAAGCTGGTCAGAAAACACTTGTGGGGAGGGAGGTGGCGTGACAAGGGCAATGTGGGCCTCAAACCCAAGAGACCAACCGCAAGCTGTGTGTGAGTGCCTACCTTGTATATGCTTAAGTCGGGTGTGGGGCTGCAGAGGAGCTGTTATGGGAAGACAGGGAGATAAATATGGGGCAGACCAAGGGCAGCAGGCAGGAGGCATGGGTGTTGTCAAGGTGGCACATCTCTTGTAGGGTCTGTGTGCTTGCCGCTCACCCAGCCTGTCAGGGTCACCGAGAGGAGAGTCCTGGCGCCTGCAAGGGAAGTGAGCTTAGACAGTGTGGCTCCTTGGCCATGTTTATGTAAAGACCGGGTGTGACTTTTGTCACTAAAATGGAAAAAAGAAACATGAAGTTTTCAGTCTCCTCCTCCTACTTTGCCCTCTCCCTCTCTCTGCCCCCCTTGCGGGTATCTGTGACGCACACTGGGCCCCACTCTTGTGACTGGAGGAAGGTGGAAAGGCCTTGAACGGAATTTGCTCACTAGGCAGATTCCTTAGAACAGGTTTTCCTCACCTTTGGGGCCTGGACCTTCTGTAGGGGCATGTGTATGCACATGGATGCATGCTCCAGTTGTGCATGACACTGTGTACTTCTCTTGTGCATGACACTGTGTACTTCTCTTGGCCTGCGGGAGGGCATATATACGTGGAGGAAGGAGAGCATTGTGGCTGGATCCTTCAGTCTGGGGATGGGGAGGGGGCTGGCTGCTGTGTGAAGCCTGCGGGACAGGTGCAAAACAGAAGCCCTGCACTGGAACTAAAGAGTTCTGTGGGTCTGTGACTTACTGGCACTTTGCCTAAGTGAGCCTCAGTTCCACATCTGTAAAACCGCCCTAATTATGTGTTCTACCTACCACTGACCTGGGAAACAGACCTGGACTGTTAGCTTCAGTTTGGGGGCTGTGCCTGTGCCAGGTCCTGTCGGCCCTCTGTCAGCACTGAGAATCCCCTTCCGGTTTCACTAATAGCAATGGCTGTAAACACTTGGTCAACACTGAGTATTGGACACCATTCTTGGTGCCTTTTCTTACTGTTGCTCATTTAGTCCTCACAGTAGGTACTCTGATTACCTCCCTTTTTCAGGTAAGGCAATTGAGGCCCAGAGAAGTTAATAATTTGTCCAAAGTCACTTAGCTAATAAAAGTTAAAACTATATTTGAACCCAAGCAGTCAAGTTCCAGATCCTGTGTTCTTAATTGCTGTGCTCTGATGCCTTCCTGGAGTATTCAGTGGACCTCTCTGCACGCACACACGCACGCACACACACATACACTTCTCCTCAGTTTCAGCATCTCACCAGGAAAGCAGTATGCTTAGGTAGCAGCAGTATGCTTAGGTAGCACTCTCAGGAATCCCAGCCCAGTGCTTGAGACCCTAAAGATCTGCTACTATATAACATGGGTGCTAGCCAGAGGGGCACAAAATGTTAGTAAGTCAGAGGAAAGAAAGGTTGTCCTTGTCCTGTGGGTCATAGAGGGCCAAAAAAAAGATAGTACATTTGATCTTAACATTTTGGAGGAATGTTGAGAAGAAATTACTGAGAGGGCATTGCTGGCAGGAGACAGCAGAGGCAAAGGCACAGAGGTGGAATATGTGGAGGTTGGAGAGCATACTGGGTGTTTAAAGAGAGAATAACACAGGCAAGATTAAGGGGAGCTTGGAGCTAGACCAGAGCCCTTTTTTTTTTTTTTTTTTTTTTTTTTTTTTTTTTTTAAGAGAGAGTGNTTAAGTATTCTTGCCTTCTTAAATCCATAAAGTAACATGTATTTGGATACATTAAATGTGTTCTTATAAATTAATAAGTGGAAAAAAACAGTAAAATTTTATTTATTTATTTATTTTTAATATTTATTTTTTAGTTCTCGGCGGACACAACATCTTTGTTGGTATGTGGTGCTGAGGATCGAACCTGGGCCACACGCATGCCAGGCAAGCGCGCTACCACTTGAGCCACATCCCCAGCCCAAGACCAGAGCCCTCGAGTACTTGGTGGAGGAGTTTGAACTTCATTCTTAAGTCAGTGGGGACTATAGACAGTTTTTGAACCTAGCTGTGTTAGTACCTGAACTGCCAGTAGGAACACTGCCTCCCATGGGAAGGAAGCTGGATGGGAAAGGTGAGCCTAAAGAGGGAAAGCTGGGAGGCCTTGGCCTTGGACCATGTAAGTGTTAACAAGGACCTGTTTGGGGGCCAAAGGCGGGTTGAGAGAAAACTTGCAAAGCCATTCCCAAGCTCAGCGGCAGTTTCAGCCAGACTTGGTGACTGCTGGATTTGGGAGCGAGGGAAAGGGTGGAGTCAGACATGACACATTTAGCACTTAGCACGTGAGACCTTGTGTGGTGATTTATGTAACCAGCTGGCCTGCCGTAGGCTCCTTCAGGACAGGATCCAGCAGAATGACAGATGCAAAGATTTAACATCTGGGGTCTGCCCAGCCTGAATTCAAATCTTGACTCTGCTATTTTCAAGCTGTGTGACCTTGATCAAGGTATATCCCTCTCTGGTTCCTCTTCTATAAAATTGGGATAATATAAAGAGAATATAAATACCTATTTTGGGTGACTATTTCAAGGATATGATTAAAGGAGGCAATGCATGTAAAGCCCCTGGAAGCTTATCAGGAAAATTGTGCATGTATTAGTAGTGGTCAAGTTATAATCATCATTCCCAGCTCCTACCTGACTCAGTTTGGCACTGAGGGTGGCTTCTTCCTGAGGATAGACAGACTTGAAGCAGACTTTGAGGGCAAGTTCATTTATCAGAATTGTATGTGTGTGTGTGTGTTACTGGGGATTGAACTCAGGGCCCCATACATGGTAGACAAACACTCTACCACTGAATGGCACACCCAGCTCTTAAAATTTTTTTAACCCCTTACATTGTGTGCTAGACACTGTGCTTAGGCCTGGAGATATTACAGTGAACAAAGCAGACAAAAATTCCTACTGTTATCAGCCTTGAAGTCTATATTCTAGAGATAAATGAGCAATGTGTTTTACTAAGTTCCAAGAAGAAAAATAAAGGAGTTTAGGAAGATATGAAGTTAGGGGGGTGGGGGTAGGCCAGGGAAGGCCCCTGGGTAAGGGGACTTTTTGAATCAAAACTGAAGTATGAGGTTATCTGGAGAAAAGAACATTCCATGCAGAGGGAACAAGAGGTGGAGCATATGTGGTGGCCATGCCCAGATCCCTGTCACAGTGGCACCTCTGGGGTCACACAAGCAGTCAAGAGTAGAGAAATGGTAAGAATAAGAAACTTAAAACCCAAGAGTCACCATCTTACCTTGAAGCCCAATTTCTGCCTCTTTTTTTTTTTTTTTTCACCATTTCCCCCCACCAACTTCCAGGGCTGAGTTTCAAGACAAGGCACAGACTACTTTGGTATCCACAGGAAATTGATTCCAGGGCTCATCACAGATATGACATCCTTGGATGCTCAAGTCCCTTCATAAAATGGCATAATATTTGTATCTAACCTATGTATATTTTAAATTATCTCTACATATAATATATAACACCATGTAAATGCTATGTAAGTAGTCACTATACTGTACTTAGGGAACAATGATAAGAAAAATAAAGTCTGTACACATATAGTTTTTTTTTTCCTGAATATTTTCAATCCTCTGTTGGTTGAATCTGCCACCTACTAATTCATTTAATCTTTTCAACAACCCCACAAGTGGGAGCTATTAATCATCTTTGCCTTATAGTTAAGGAAACTTGGATATAGAGAGTTGAATGACTTATGCAGGATCACATAGGTAGTGTCTTCTCCACCCCCCTTCCCCGACCCATAAACCCTTGCAGGACAGTGGCCAGAATGAGGCAGTTGAACTCAGGAAAGCTGAATCCAAACCCCAGCCTGGATTCAGCTTTCCTGAGTTAGCCTGTTAGCAACAAGACCAGGAGCAGGGGGGCTGAGGCTAGAAAATATTCTTACCATGCACAAGGCCCTGGTTCAATCCCTAGCACTGCCAAAAACCAGGGGCAAATCACTGCATCACTATATTTCCTGGACCTGAAATGAGTTTAGAGTGTTGAAATTCTCTACACTGTGGTCATTTTGGATATTGATATGATGCAGATAAAATCTTTGGCACTATATTTTGCACGTAAGTATTTATAAATGGCAGCTACAAAGACCATAATGACTGCAATTCTAGATGATCTCTAAGGGACAGTCCAGCTTTGAGCCTCTGTGGTTTTAAGAAGCCCTAACAGGCCTTGTCCAAGTGTCAAGGCAGTCAGCATACAGTTGCTTGTCTGCAGGCACCAAGCCTCCCATGGATGGTTGTGCAGGTGAGCAGGGCTGGCCATGGGTGAATGGGGATTGGAATTAAACTCTGACTTCTGCTCACCTAGAAGAAGGGGACACAAACACTCCAGGTGGACTAGTGGCATCCCAGTAGGAGCTGTAAACATGTCCTTCATCATGGTGTAGAGAAGTCATCAGGAACACTGACTTTGAAGCCAAGTTTCCTGGGATCAGTTTCCAGCCCAGCTACTGGTCGTATATCTACTTGGGCAAATTACACAGTACATCTGAGCCTCTGTCGCCTTAAAATGAATAAGCTGTCTGCCACCTTTCTGGGTAGCAATGAGAAGCAAATGAAATAATGCAATAAAGTGCTGACTCTTGGGGTCCCAGTGGGCTGGGGACTATCATGGAAGTTGGAAGTCTAATCACAGCCCATGGATTCCCTAGGATTCCCAACCTATTCACAGCATGAACAGAGTTCCTGGTCTGTGCCTGGCAGTCAGGATTGTCAAAATTTTTGAATAGGGGCTAGAGTTATAACTCAGTGGTAGAGTGCTGCCTAGCATGTGTGAGGCTATTCCAAAAGGAATAGCAGGCAACCCAAATGCACTGCATAAAAATAAAGAAATAAAGGTTAAAAATTAAAAAAAAAAAACAACTTTTGAATATCACCTCTGTTTACCCACCTTCCTTCTTGTTCAGGAGAGGAATCAGAGCTGGCTTTTGCAGGAAAATTTAAGATACTGTGGGGAGAAGGCCTTTAAGTCCAGATGGCATGGGTAGTAAATGGGAAAAGAACATTTTGTGGGGGTTGGGGATTGCATGAGGAACTCCTGATGCAGGCCACACATGACTATGTGTGATGTGGACAGGGCACTCAGAAGGATGCTACCCTACCCCACTATCCAAGAGGCCAGAGTTCCCAGGCTGCCTGGAGGGCAGATAAGAGAGACCTTTCAGGTCAACAGGTCTAAATCTATGGACAGGTCCCACTTGTTATTCCCAGCTCTGTATGACTTTGGATAAGGCACTGAAACTCAGATATTCAAGTAAAAGATGAGAATTCAAGGCCCTAAACGGGGGTGGGGAAGCAGCTGAGTTGCTATCTGAGCTAGCAACTACCAAACTTGCTTTTGGGTTCCTGCTATTCCTTTTGGTGGAGGCTTCTGGCAAGAGATGAAGTAGAGGGGTCTTATTTCCCCTGCTTTTTAAGCCCAAATCCCTAGGCCAACAGGTCTCATAAGAAGTGGGACCCAAGGCTCCCCACTCTTGGTCTGGTGGCCTTTGCAGTGCCCTTTAGAGACTGGAACAAACAGGCACTTGTCAGTGGTCTTTAGAGGTCACCTGGTACCCTAGCCAGAAACCCCTTCTAAGATTTATAGGGCTGGAAGCATGTGAGGAGGCCATCTCCTAATTTGAATACCTAGTAGCTTGGTCTAATAAGAAAGCTTACATAGACTAGGCCTGGTGGTGTGGTGCAAACCTGTAATCCCAGCAACTCGGAAGACTGAGGCAGGAGGATCACAGGCTCAAGACCAGTCTCAGAGCTGGGTGTGGTGGCATACACCTGTAATCCCAGTGGATCAGGAGGCTGAGACAGGAGGATCATGAGTTTAAAGCCAGCCTCAGCAACTTGGTGAGACTCTGTCTTAAAATAATATATAAAATGGGCTGGAAATGTGGCTCAGTGGTTTAAATTACCCCTGCTTAAATCCCTGGTACCCCCCCCAAAAAAATTACACAAATATATTTTAATATGTAAATGTACCAATTGTGATAAAAGACAACATTCAAATCTTTGATTTCCTTTGAGCCCCAAGGTTGGACCAAAGGGACTTGAAAGTGATCTGACAGGCTTTCCTGAACCTATGGGGTTGGACTGTGCTGCTGTATTGTATAGAAGTGAACTGGGAATATGTGAATTATCTTGTTTCTGTACTTCCATGGGCCCAGCAAAAAAGCCTCTCTGATAATCTTTGTGACCTTGTAGGTCTGACTGGATGAGGCTAAACAAATAACCTGACAGAGGTTCCTGGGAGGAATCAGGGTCTGCAGAGCAGTGCAGATATCCTCTCTGACCCTGACCACTGTACCAATGCCCACTCCCTACAATCCTTCATTCCAGTTCTTGTCCTGAGGACCCTTTCCTGCCTCCTGCTCTCAGTTCTCCTGACATGGTTTCTGTTTCTCCACAGAAGGAAGAGGCTGGGCAGAAGGGACTCACTGAGCCACCCCCCAGTCCGCTCCATGCTGGCTGTGCTCTCAGGTGAGAGGGTACCAAGAGGACTATATTTAGGAAAAATTAAACCTAGGGTAGCATGCCTGCAAGGGCACCCATTTTGTCCAGGCTGGAGAGTTCTGGGAAATGATTGGCAATAGTTGTGGGAGCTTCCTTATCCTTCCAATGAGAGAGGTTTCCATTGCTTACCTGCTAGTCTGCGACTTTGGAAGTCATAGACTTCTTGACCTTTAGGATGACCTATGGTATCTCTGGCCTCTCTTTTAGCCCTAGATATTAGAAATACTGGTCTTGAACATTGGTTAGACTTGGGTGGCTGAGTGTCAACTTCTGTGACCTGAAGTTACTCAATCTTCTACTAATTTTTGACCAGCCTGACCCCTTCTCAGTTCACTTCCCTGGTCTTAGAGGCCTCTGCCCTCTGCACAGCCTCTGAGACTCTCCCTGGCCTCTTTTCCCCATGTCTAGGCTGGCGCCATGCCCCCACCTGCAGAGGTGACGGACCCATCCCATGCCCCCGCCGTCTTGCGCCAGCTCAATGAGCAGCGGCTCCGTGGCCTCTTCTGTGACGTCACCCTCATAGCCGGAGACACCAAGTTCCCCGCTCACCGCAGCGTCCTGGCTGCCTCTAGTCCCTTCTTCAGAGAGGCCCTGCTAGCTTCAGCCCCACTGCCCCTCCCACCAGTTACTGGGGGCTCAGCTCCCAATCCTGCAACCACCACAGCTGCCTCTTCTTCCTCTTCCTCCTCCTCTTCTTCCTCTTCCTCCTCTTCTTCTTCTTCTTCCTCTTCCTCCTCTTCTCCCCCTCCAGCCTCTCCCTCTGCTTTATCCCCACCCCGGGTCCTTGAGCTTCCAGGAGTCCCAGCAGCTGCCTTCTCTGATGTCCTCAACTTCATCTATAGTGCCCGGCTTGCACTCCCTGGTGGTGGAGGGGACGGGGCAGCTGTGGCAGAGATTGGAGCTCTGGGGCGGCGTCTGGGCATCTCCCGCCTGCAGGGCCTTGGGGAGGGAGGCGATGCATGGGTACCTCCCACCCCAGCCCCCATGGCCACCTCACAGCCTGAAGAGGACAGTTTYGGGTCTGGGCCGAGGCCAGATGGAGAATGGGAGGGTGACAGGGCTGATGCTCAGGCCCCTGACTCACAGCCCCCGCTGCCACGTCGGCCCCTCCCTTGCCCACGATGTGGGAAAAGCTTCATCCATCCCAAGCGGCTACAGACCCATGAGGCCCAGTGTCGACGAGGGGCCAGCACTCGGGGGTCTGCAGGGCTGGGAGCTGGGGGCTCTGGCCCTGGTGGTCCTGCAGGAGTGGATGCCTCAGCCCTACCCCCACCAGTGGGCTTTCGAGGTGGCCCTGAGCACGTGGTGAAGGTGGTGGGTGGCCATGTGCTGTACGTGTGCGCAGCCTGCGAGCGTTCCTACGTGACCCTGTCCAGCCTGAAGCGGCACAGCAATGTGCATTCGTGGCGGAGGAAGTACCCCTGCCGCTACTGTGAGAAGGTGTTTGCCCTGGCTGAGTACCGCACCAAACACGAGGTGTGGCATACTGGGGAGCGCAGGTGAGTGGTCTGGGTCCAGGAGTGGAGGGTTGGGAAGGAGGGCCCAGGGTCAGCACTCAGAGGCCTTGGACAAGGGAGGGAAGGTGTAGAGGGTGGGGTCTAGAAAGTCATCCTGAATCTGGTCTACTTATGCCCTGGCCTCTGTTCACCGGCACTCACTCACTGCCCACACCCACCCCCAGCCTCTTAACAGCATCTTGCCTGCCTGTGTCCTGGGTTGGCACTGTGGGGAAGGCCAGGAAGTAAAGAATGAATTGCCTTTACAGAGGGGACACACAAAGGCGTGTTCACCAGTACTTATAATACTCAGAACAATGCCGGGTAGTTCCATAGCATATCCTTGTTCTTAAGTCATTTCCTAATTCTGTTATTTGTGCTTCAGAAGGCTTTGTGAGTTAGGATGTATGATTATTCCCAGTTCACAGATTGAACAGTTGAGGCTAGGAGTGGTACCCCTCAGGAGACTGGCAGGGTAAAGCAAAGCAGCATCAAGGGAGGGTGAAAATATGGCTGGGGGAGTTATAGGTTTGAGGGCTGCAGAGGACATGGAAACTGAGACCCTGGCTTCAGGGCCCCTGACTCAAGTGGCTCTGTTCCTGCCCTGTTCCCTGCTGTCCTGGCCCAGGTACCAGTGCATCTTCTGCTGGGAGACCTTTGTCACCTATTATAACCTGAAGACCCACCAGCGAGCCTTCCATGGCATTAGCCCGGGCCTCCTAGCCAGTGAGAAGACACCCAATGGAGGCTACAAGCCCAAGCTCAATACCCTGAAGCTGTACCGCCTGCTCCCCATGCGGGCAGCTAAGCGGCCCTACAAGACCTACAGCCAGGGAGCCCCCGAGGCCCCCCTTTCTCCAAGCCTCCACACACCGGCCCCTGTGGCAATGCCAGCCAGCCCCCCACCCGGACCCCCACCTGCCCCAGAGCCTGGCCCACCACCCTCTGTCATCACCTTTGCTCACCCAGCTCCTTCTGTCATTGTCCATGGGAGCAGCAGCAGTGGTGGTGCAGGGAGTGGGTCAGCCACCACAGGAGGGTCCCAGGCTGCCTCAGTAATCACTTACACTGCTCCCCCAAGGCCCCCTAAGAAACGAGAGTACCCACCTCCTCCCCCTGAGCCCGCAGTAACACCCACCAGCCCGGCTACCACCTTGGTCAGCCCAGCCACAGCTGCAGGGCCAGCTACAGCTGCAGAGGAGGCCAAGAGCCGGAATCCACGGGCTGGGAGGACTCTGACTTATACAGCCAAGCCAGTGGGTGGGGTTGGTGGGGGTGGGGGTCCCCCCACAGGGCCTGGCCGGGGCCCCTCTCAGCTACAGGCTCCACCTCCACTGTGTCAGATCACTGTGCGGATTGGGGAAGAGGCCATTGTCAAGCGCCGCATATCAGAAACTGACCTTCGTCCTGGAGAGCTGAGTGGAGAGGAGATGGAGGAGAGCGAGGAGGAGGATGAAGAGGATGACGAGGACGAGGACGAGGAGGATGATGAGGAATCAAAGGCTGGTGGGGAGGACCAGCTCTGGAGGCCCTACTATTCATACAAGCCTAAGCGCAAGGCCGGAGCTGCCAATGGTGGTGGTGGTGGAGGTAGTGGGATAACCAGAGGACGACGGCCACCACGCTGGAGGCAAAAGCTAGAACGGAGGGGCTGGGAGGAGAGCCCCACAGTGGAAAGCCCAGTAGGGCGTGTCCGTGGTGAGCGGAGGCACCGCTGTGGGGACTGTGCCCAGACCTTTGCCACCCTGAGGAAGCTGCGAAAGCACCAGGAGGCCCACAGTGGGGGCTCCCACAGCTCTCGGGCTGGACGGAGGCCTTCCACCCGCTTCACCTGTCCCCACTGCTCAAAGGTGTGCAAAACGGCAGCTGCCCTGAGCCGCCATGGACAGAGGCATGCTGCTGAGCGGCCCGGAGGCACCCCCACACCTGTCATTGCCTATTCTAAGGGCAGCACTGGCACCAGGCCTGGGGATGTCAAGGAAGAGGCCCCACAGGAGATGCAAGTGTCCTCATCAAGTGGGGAGGCAGGTGGTGGGAATGCTGCTGCTGAGGAAGCTTCTGAGATGGCCTCACTCCAGGACCCTGTCATCTCAGGGGGTGAGGAGCCCCCGGTAGCAGGAGGGGGCAGCTATGCATATCCCCCTGTGCAGGAATTTCCACTGGCTCTGATAGGGAGTGGCCGGGAACCAAATGGAGGCAGAGGAAAACCTGGGAGTGAGGGGCTAGTGGGTGTTTCGGAAGGGGACCGGATAGAGGGGATGGGGGCTGCCAAAGTCACCTTCTACCCTGAGCCCTATCCACTTGTCTATGGCCCCCAGCTCCTTGCTGCCTACCCTTACAACTTCAGCAACTTGGCTGCTCTCCCAGTTGCTCTCAACATGGTCCTACCTGATGAAAAAGGTGGGGGAGCCCTTCCTTTCCTACCAGGGGTCTTTGGCTACGCAGTGAATCCTCAAGCAGCACCCCCTACTCCCCCAACTCCGCCTCCCCCAACTCTTCCTCCATCAGTTCCCCCTAAGGGAGAAGGGGAAAGGGCAGGGGTTGAGAGAAACCAGAAGGGAGATGTGGGGTGAGCTCTAGGGCCAGACCCCCCTTTCACCAGATGCCACCCTCCCTGAACCCCCTACCACTACCAGCTCCCTGGCTTCCTTGCCCTAGGGGTCCCGCCACACTCTTGTGCAGGGACTTGGGGGCCCCTGGAGCTCAGGAGTCAGGCTGCTTTGTGTGAGATTGTAGTTTTCCCATCTCCTGGGAAGGGATCTTTGGTGGTTCCCCTCTCAATCTTCCTCCAGGGAATGGCCCCATGAGGGGCAGGGCCAGCTCCCATCCCTTCTCCAGCACATGGGGCAACTGAGCAATATACTTATTTGAATTTCTACTCATGGCCCCCACCAGCTCTGAATGTCTAACCTGCTCCCCTAATTCGTAAACCTAGGGGGAAACCATCTCTCTCACTTAATGATCCCCACCTCGCTCTGAAGCTTTCTCTAAGTCCTTCCCCAGATGCTTCCTAGAACATTCCATTCTTTGTGGCCCAGGGCCTGGACCAGACCATTGTGATACCTGACTCACCTGCCTGGGAGCATGGCTTTGGATTCCGTTCTTCCCAAGGGTGGGTCTCTCTATCCCTATTTCCTCCACATTGAGATGCCATGCCTTCCTTGGCTTCCATGCCTTTGGATCTTCCGTGCTCCTTCCCATACTCCTAGGCTTTGGAGGTGGCCTCGCCCAATCCAGGTCAAGGAGGTAGTGACAGGACAGCTTAACCCTCTGTTCCATGGCTGAGTACTCTTCCAACCCAGGCCAGGGAAATCTTGGCCCTACCTTGACCCTCAAATCCAGTGAGCTCCAGATTCTTCCAAGGCAAAAGAGGTGAAGCGATCACACCTCTTCATGTCTTTTCATATGGCCTCTTCTGGGCTAAATCAGATTTGGGGGTCAGGAGGAGAGAGCTCCATATGGAATGGAGAAAGGAATCTACTTTCCCAGTTTTTCCCCTTTCCTGATGGTTTCTCCCAGACTAGACCAAATAGCCAGAAAAACGATGGGGGTTGGATGGGTGGGTAAGCCCAAGATTTGCACATGACCTTCCATCCTTACCTTTCCCCCCATCTTCCCTAGTGTTGCTCTCACCAATCACTCCAGATGGTTTTGGGGGAACCATCCTACTTTCCTGGTGGGCTTTGGGGTATCCCCACCAACTTTCCCTACAAAAGAGCACCTTACACCCCATCTTTGACTCAGTTCCCCACACCCAAAGATCCCAGCCTAGGGATGGGGTACAGGGACCTTAAATAGTCCCTAATCCCTAATTTGCACTAGTTAACCCTGGTCAGGGGTCGATATATTTCCTTCCAGTGGGGGAGAAGACTGAAATGTTTGTTTCTAAAGCTCTTTGAAAACAGGGCCTCCCTGCTCTGTGATTGGAAGAACATTTCTCTCTCTCCCCACCTTCCCCCTCCCCCAGAAAAAAACAGCTCACAAGGGGAGAACCAGTATGGGGAAGCAGATTTGATAAATGGGAATTAGAGGAGTGTAGTTTAAAAATGGGGAAAAGTTGCTATCAAGAAAGCAGCTTTTCTCTCAGCTACTGTTTTTTGGGGCCAAGATGGCTGCCCTCTTGGCAACTGCCTAGAGGGCAAGATCATGGCTTTTAGAGGGAGGTGAATCTTGAGAGCGCCAGGATCATCCTCCTGCCCCCTTTCCCTCCCAGCCTATAGGAAGGGGGAGGTGTTGGACAGGCTCCCTGAATGTTAACTGGGGAGGAGTCACTCCTTCTTTCCTCCTCTGTCTCTTTGCACTTTTCTTGGTCTTGGCCACAGTCTGAGTGAAGAATTTCCTACTGAATGTACCAAGTTCCAATTTTTAACGGGGAAAACATTTGAAACAGGGAAAAATGCAAAAAAAAAAAAAAAATCACTAAAAATTCCCACAAATCGTTTCTGGCACTTTAGAAAAACTGCAAAAAAATACATAATAAAGAATACATATATATATCTACACACAAATTATATATATCTATATATACAGCGGAACCACAAGAGAGACTGAGGAAGGCCTGGAGGCAGGGGACAGATGTGATGACAGTCCCCCCTGTACCCTTCACCCACACTCCTCTGAGGCAAACAGGCACAGGAGAATGGAAGGGGTTGAGGATGGACCGGGGAATTTGAATTTCAGAATAGGTCAAAATTCCAAAACCCATGGATATTGGAAGAATTGCGATTGTAAAGGTTTTTTTCTTTTTTTGAAATGTGTAAGGAATAGCTTACAGAATTTGGTGGTTCTGGGCAATGAATGAGATTGTGGCAAAGTGGAGATTAAAATATATGTATTTGAGTGGGAGAATTTGAATAYTGAGTTTCAGATGTTGGAAATTAGGGATTTTGCAATTTTGTCATTTGAAAATGATCGAGTTTTGTCAGTTTTTGCCCTCTTTCCCCATGTTCCCTGGGAAAAAGGTGATGATAGAATGGGAAGGCCACCGGTTCTGTGCCACAGCACGTAAGATTTAGAATTCTACAGACTCTAGCTCTATATGTAGTGAGGACCCAGATTTAGAGAAACTGACCAATATTTATCTCCGCATTTGTGTGTGTGTCCAACTCTCTAGGCCAATAAACCAACAAGACAAATGAACTGTGCTCCACAGTGGGATGCCAGGTGCAGTTATTTGTGTGGCTGGTGGGTTTGGGGGAAAGGGACATTTTTCTTGTCCCACAGGGATCCTTACATTAGAAGTTGTAGCCCTATTCTCTCAGCTTTCAGCAATTGAGTAGGTAGGTGTGAGGCTTGTTGACTCTAGGTGCTTCTTTGTAATTGCTGTAGCCACTAGGATCCAGCTGACTTTGGTCTGACCTCCAAGCAGAAACATTAACTCAGTCCATTTCATACAGCCTTCTGTGCATAACTGCTAGATGGAAGATCTCTGTATCCTTGAATGGCCTTGCTTCATACCAGATTCAACCCTTTTTCCAGTCTGAAAGTAAACTGAGGCAAAAAAATATATGATGACCATAAAAGATATGACCTCTCCATTGGCTTCAACTCCTTGCCTGTCCTCCCCTCTCCTATCTTTTCTATTGATATGGAGGGATGGGCAGGTAAAATGAGTGAAGGTGGTTAGGTGGACAGGGGCTTTAAGGAATTCAGGCACCAATACCTTGATTAAAATGAGCAGCCACTGATTAGCTCTAGCAAGTTTCCATCAACAAGAAAATATGGTCAGGCATTACCATACTTAAATTTTTTTTTCAAAGAAAAGCCAGAAATTCCCAGACCTGGTGGCCTATAATCTCAGAGGCTCAGGAGGACAAGATGTGAGGATTACAAGTTCAAGGCCAGCCTCAGCAACTTAGGTCCTAAGCAACTAGTGAGACCCTGTTTCAAAATAAAAAAAAAGGCTGGGGATGTAGCTCAATGATAAATTGCCCTGGGTTAAATATCCACACACAAAGAAAAAAGAGAAATCCACATGTCTCTGTGAAATATCCAAGTTTTAAAAGTAGTGACCTAATTAGAAACTGCACATGCCAACAACATGAACCAATAAAAACACTCCAGTTTGTAAACTCAGATATTGTTGATATATACTATGGGGCATATACTATTATTAGCTTTGTTTTACAGATGTGGAAACTATGATACAGGGCAGTCAGTCATTTGAGCATTAAAGCCAGAAGTTGAATAGAGGTCTTTAAAACACTTTTTTTTAGTTTATTTTTTTAAAGTGTTTCTTCAAAACACTTTTTTAGCCTTTAGAACCTTTTTTTTTTTAAATTACATTAAGGTAAAAACAGAAAAAAAAATTAGTCCAAACATGCAAATGTAGGAACTATTAATTGGTGTTATTTCTTTCCAGAAAATCCTCCCTCTTCATTCAACATTGAACCTTTAGGTCAGTGTCAGGTGCTGGAAATATTACAGTGACCAAGACATTTCCTGCCATCCTAAGGCTTACATTAATTTGTGCTCTTTGTTCTACTTCATTGGGGACCTGGGCATTGATATCCAAGGGAGCCGCCTCAAGTATCCAAAGAGCAAATAAACTGATATGCATTTCAGGTGGGTCTAAGACACCCTGACCAGCCCTCGGTTCCATTTAAGCGCTCTCCTCGAAAGGAAATAAAAATACTGGATTCCTAGCGAAAGGGTTTAAGCAGAGGGGGTTATAAGGCTTGAAAATACTTTCATTTCAACTAGCCGAGAACCTGAGGCTCGGCCTTCCAGTCCTCAAGGAAAGGGGTTGGCAGGGGGTAAGTGGTACGTAGCATCTAGGAAAATGACCAGGGTCCCGACGCTCGTGAAGATGATGAAGGTCCACAGGAAGAGGCGATCCACTACCATAGCCACAAACTGCCAGTCCTCCTTCAGCTAGGGGTAGGCAGAGGAAACCTTCTGAGTTCTAGGCCCCGATCCCCAGGGAAGCCTGGCCCCCACAGCTCGGACCCCTCCCGGGACTTCCCACTGGAGGTCTGAGAAAAGACACCGCACTGCAACAAGTGATAAAGACCGCGAGTTAAAGAACCACTCACAATGTAGAGGGCGGGACCAAGTGAGGTAAACTTCCAATCATAAGTGGAAGCCAGTGCTAGGGGCGAGACTTGCATTTGCGGGCGGAGCCAAGGTCACAGAAGACCTGCTCTTGCTCTGGTCCTCCCTTATTGGACTTAACTGCATCGTGGTCCTCCTGTTCTTGCAGCTGTCGAGCGATGTAGCTGATCGAGGAAACCACCTCCCGTAACTCGGGAGGCAGGCCCACAGCCTGGTTTCGACCATCAATAAATCGCCGCAGGTCCGGGGTAGACAGTTCAGGCTGGAATCTGGAAGAAGCTGAATGTTTGGCCACGCCCCAGGCTAGAATAGCTAGCGCCAGTGACCTAGGTCCAGCTCCAATTGCCTCCAACAACCTGCCAGTTCCAAAAAGCTGGAAGAGCCCTTCAGACACTTTCACCAGGGGAGACCTCTCCAGCCATCCTCAACTTCTTCCAACCCTCCAAGCTTTATTTACCATCTTCCCTCAAAGTAAGCCGCAGAAGGGATACTACAACTCCCATGATGCTGAACCACAGCATCTTCCGAGAGCATGGGACGCTAAGCTCGCGCTCGGTCTTCTGGGAACTGTAGTTCTCCCTCTCCCCTCCATGTCAGTGTTGGGTATTGGTTCTACCTGTTGGGTTTGGGGAAGAGAAAATCATTCGGTGGCTTCCGGATAAAATATTCGTCCGTACCCCGACCCCAGCCACTTCCCAGAGAAGAAGAGTGAGGGGGCTCTGGCAGCTGGTCTCTCTCAGGTTTTGGCCTCTTCAGACCCAGGTAGAGAGGGAGCTTGTGGATAAAGATCTGCAGAATAGAAGACACTTACTGGAACGGGCTTACTACAAGGGAAGAAGCCAACCATGTCCATTACCACTGTGCATGCATATGGTTCCATGGAGTTAATAGACAAGGAAATGCAATCTGATGGTCTCAGAGCTCTTTAATGGGTTGAGAGGTTTCTGGGCTTTCACTCTGATTGTACCTATCCCCAAGAATGTTTCCCAGGGACCCAACATAGGTAGTAATGATGAAGGGAGTATGGAATCGATGAAATGATAAGAATGGGAAGTACAATTAATCGTGCAATGTTTCAACACCCAACAGGCTTTGGCATTTCAACACTTTACCAGATAGCCTTCATTTTCCCTTAGGTCTATAAAAAGGAAGTTGAGATTGGTGGGTGGAGGGAGTGATAGCTGGACAAAGAGCCAAATACTAAGATTGGGAGTTAGCACAGACCAGAGGAAGAGATCTCTTACCTGACGGACCCAAAGAGGCATTTGGTGGGTGTGGGGAGAGCGGTGGTGCAGGTTGAGTACCACAACGCTAAGGATGACTGAGAAAGTGACGAGGATCATGGTAAACATTAGATACTTAATAATGATGGGTACTGACAAGGAGGTCTCAGGTACTTTGTCTGCCAGCAGCAGCAGGAACACAGTAAGGGTCAGCAGGGCAAAGATGGAGAGCCCCATCTTTTCTCCTTAGAAGGCAAAGGGGAAAGCAAAAGGATTAGACTTTACTAGAAGGAAATCTCTATGTCATAATCAGTGACCATGTTTCCAGCCAACCAATGATAGGAAAGGTCAATCTGCATACAAATTACTTTTTGGAAGGTCAATCTGCATACAAATTACTCCCATATTTGTTCCTCCAGTCTGGACTTCTCCCTTGCACACCAGACTTACATCCAAATGCTTTCTCAACCTTTCCACTGGGATTATCCAATACACATCTCAAATTTAGGATGTCTAAAACCTAATTCTGTCACCACCAAAGCTACTCTCCCATAGTTTTCCCCATCCTGTAACAACTGCATCTTTTCTGTGGCTTAAACCCAACTCCTTGGAGTCGTTCTCAACTTTCCTCCATTTCTGTCTCTATCTCTTCTACTCTTCATTCCATATCTTCAAAATATATCCTAAAACTGATGACATATCACATCTACACTCTCATCCTAACCATCATTACCTCAGGTCTGAATTATTGTAGAGGTATCCTACCTGATCTCTGCTTCATCTGTTTACCTCAGCAGATCAGTCAGACTGATTTTGTTGAAATATAAATCAGATTATATCATTCCTCTTTTCAAAACCACCTAAATAGCTCTTCATATCCTTCAGTATAAAAGCAAAGTTCTTTCTATGGATCACAGGTTTTTCTCATTAGCTCCCTAATTTCAACTTCTACTTTCCCTCTGGCTTACTTCATTCAGTTACAATGACTTCCTGCCTATTTCTTGAATATACAAGTCAGCCTCCCACTACAGAGCCTTTGCATTCACTGTTTCCTTTGCTTGCACATTCTTTCCCCAGATACCTCCTGGAGTCATTTTCTTGCCTCCTTTAAGTCAAATAGTCCCTCTTCAATGAGGCCATTCACTGACATCCCATGTATTGTTATTGTTGTTATTATGTTATTATTATTTTTTTTAAACTGGGAATAAACCCCAGGGACACTTTACTGCTGAGCTACATCCCCAGTCCTTTAAAAAAAAAAATTTAAGAGTTTCATTAAGTTGCTGAGGCTGGCCTTGAACTTGTGATCCTCCAGCATCAGCCTCCCAAGTTGCTGAGATTACAGGCATGCACCACCATACCCAGTTCCATTTTTATTTTTTATTTACTATAAGGAAAGCAGCCAACCACCTCCAGATAAAAGAAAAAAATGCTTTGAATACTAGAGTTAAGGATACTGGGTCTCTCAACCAGATTGGCACTGACTAGGGCTGGAATAACAACACTATCACTTTTTTTTTTAATTTTTTTTTTTTTAGAATTTTTTAATATTTAGTTTTCTGCGGACACAACATCTTTGTTTGTATGTGGTGCTGAGGATCAAACCCGGGCCACACACATGCCAGGCGAGCGCGCTACCGCTTGAGCCACATCCCCAGCCCCACAACACTATCACTTTTACTGTGTGATGTCAGATAAATGACTTAAACTCTCAGCCTCTTTATCCTTTGTAAAATGAGAGTGACAATTCAGTACTTACCATGAAGTATTATTGTAAAGATTAGAATCAAATAACATGTTAATTGTATAACCTTATAGTAAGTGCTTAAAAATAGTAAAAAAAAAAAAAAAATGGGCATGGTGGTGTACATCTTTAATTCCAGTGGCTTGGGAGACTGAGGCAGGAGGATCACAAGTTCAAGGCCAGCCACAGAAACTTAGCGAGACCCTAACCAACTTAGGAGACCCTGCTGAAAAAAAAAATTTTTTTTTAAGTATTGGGGATGTGTCTCAGTGGCTAAGCAATCCTGGGTTCAATTCCTGGTTTAAAAAAAAAAAAAGCTATAATCACATAGAATGTACTGAGTACCAGGCATAGTTTTATTAAGTCAGTCAATTCTCAAAATAATCCTATGTGGTAGGGACAAAGATTGTCTTCATCAGGAAACTAATACACACAAAAATTAAGAAATTTACCCAAGGTTACTCTGTTACTACATTTTGCTTCCTGCTAGAGAAATACTATTATTTCTCAGGCAGGTAAAAAGTTTAGGCATAGTGTCCAAAAAGTAGGGGTGGAGGGTTGCTAGGAAAGGGGAAAGGGAAGAGGAGATTGGCTCAACATGGGATTTGGCTGGTCAGAAAACTACACAAGTGGCTATGACTCTAAAGGAAAGAATTCAGAAGTCACTGGGTGAAGGGAAACCAGCAGCAGAGGGAATGTAGAGCCTAATGTTGGGTCTACAGGGTGAGAAGGAAAACCAGGGATTGATGAATCTAATCAATGGAGATTTAGAAAATCGTGGTCTGCGTTAAGGGTGAAGAGAAAGAAGCTGAGCTAATGAGAAGAGCAAGGGCCCCTTCCCCCTTACCTGCATCCGGTGGCAAGTAGAAGACAAAGATGGCCAAGAGAGTGATAAGGATGCACGGGGCAATGACATTGACCAGGTAGAAGAGAGGCTTCCGGCGGATGATGAGGTAGAAGGTGACTTCCTCATGTTGTCCTTCCCTCCCTCCCCTAGGATCCCCTGGAGGCTGGATTAGCCTAGCAGGCTTGTGGATAATCTCCCATTGGCCATTCTCTGAGGGAGAGGGAAGCAGAAGGAGATACCTATGTGAGAATTGTCCTAGTCAGTTCCAGGTATGCAACACTGTAGTGGGCAGCTATCTCTAATAAACTTAACTACGTCTCAGTTTCTATATTTGTACAGTGTTGATAGTCATACCCACCTTGCTGACTCCAAAAGGTTACATTGGACATTGCTGACAGAGTATATTTACCTGCCTGTTACAAACTGGAAATCAGAAAGCCTAAGGGTGTGGAAGTCATCCCCACTTACCAATGAATGTCCCTTCATGAATGTAGATTTCCTGCCGCTCCAGCCCATCAGAACCCAGGCCTGTATGCAGACTGACCTCTGAGCTGTCATAACTGTAGGAACTAAACACCATGGTGCAGTTTTGCCAGTCAAAGGGGAAGTAGGTGACCTGGATGGAAGGGAGAATCTATCTAGCTGCCAGAGAACTGGTCAGGACTTCCTTCAATTTAGAAGGTCATTGGGGAGGTCCTTGGGGGAACAGGGAAATGAGGTCAAAGAGGAATTGGAGGGCTACTAACAAAGGCCATTTGGGAAATGGTGGAAGGTCACTGAGAAAGAGTAGGAGTCAAGAAAGTCTATGGAGAAAAGAACACTTAGTGAAAAGCCAGGAGATGAGGTCATAGGGGATAATGGAGGAGGAATGGGAGCCCCTGAAAAGTCAGGATGTCTGAGGAGAGCAAGAGTTTTTAAGAGCAACTTTAGCTTCCCAAGTGGGGCTCAGAAACCTGGATGCTGCAGCTGCTGCGATAGATGCCTGGGGGTTGCCAGCGGACTGAGCCATCTGAAGACACCACAACATCAATGTCCAGAGCAACATCAAAATTTCCATCATTGCTGCAGAGAAAGGATCCTCTCATCTGGAATCCCATAGTCCTCCGGAGGCCCCACCCCTCTTGAGTTCCCACCCCACCTCCCAGGCTTTGGAAAATACCCTACTTGTTCATCAACACCACATCAGGTAGCCATACTGATTCTGCCGTGATGCGGAGCAAATCGATGCCATCGTGCTCTGCCGGGTCCCAGCTCAGCCTGTAGTCAGTCCACTCCTAGGGAAGCACAGGCTAAGGGGCTGTTTGGGGCTAGAAATACAGGAAGGGAGTGCAAGGGAGTGGAGAAGTGCAGGCATGTCAAGGAGTCAGGTTCTGATTTGGGATCTGTCTTCACTCTTTGGTATTCACACTAGCTAATTTTCCTCTCTCAGTTGTGGGTCTCAGTTTTTTAAGTCTGGAAAAACGAAGAGAGGTTAAGCACGGCGCAGTGGCGCATGCCTATCTCCTAGCCACTTGGGAAACTGAGGCAGGAGGATTGAAAATCCGAGGCCAACCTGGACAATTTAGCAAGACCCTGTCGCAAAATAATAATAAAAATAAAAGAAAGACTGGTAATGTAGACCATTGGTACATCGCCCCTGGGTTCAATGAAAAAGAAGTAGTTGCACCACCAAGAGGTTGCACCAAGGTGGGTTTTTGTTGTTGTTTTGACTTTTTGTTTTTTTCCTTTCTTTGTGTGTGTGTGTGTGTGTGTGTGTGTGTGTGGAGGGGGGGAGGCAGTGAGTGGGATGGGTACTGCTTATTGAACCCAGGACTTCGCACATGCACAGTGGTTTTCCCAAAATGCAGTTCATGACACTTTAGTGGATGGGGATCCAAGGTAGTGGTCCTAAAGCAGTGTTTTAAAAAGTTGGAATAAAAAATGCAATACCTATCCCTGTAGGTATTGTTTTCTAAAGCTTCTGTTTCAGTTATAAGTTTTCTGAGGTCGTGATACAAAAAAAAAAAAAAAATCTTATTCGACGGGACATTCGAGTAAATTATAAAGATAGCGAGACGCCCTCCCCACCCATCCCCGCCCCCAGCGAGATGCCCTTCCCCATGGGGTTTTCATACCAGGTCTAAATACACCTTTGTGCTCATCTCTTCATCCTTTTCGTTCTAGAAGGGAAAATTTTTAAAGCGTAAAGGCAAAGTTAAGTGGAGAAAAATGAGGGCTTGGCAGGTTAACCTCTCCTTGAAAACTGCAACCCCTTTTCCTGAAGCCCACCGTCTAGGGTCCAAGTCCAACCTCCTAGAAGCTGCGTTAGCTTAAACCCCGCCTCTACCTCAGAAACAACTCTTCCTGCTATCTACACTCTCAGCTTGTTTTCCTATCAGCTTCGCCCCCTTCCCCAGACTTGCCCCGGGTCCCGCCCACAGCTCATAATCCACCCAACCCTGAATTTCCGTAGGCAGTTGTTTATTGACCCGTGGGGCACCAAACTCCGCCCCACCCTGGCGAAGCCTTCGACGGCTCCTCCTAAGGATCCGCCCCCCCCCCCCCCCCCCCGCCCATCAGCCCGCCACAGCTCCACTTCAAGATCCGCCCACAAACTGGTACATCGTCCTACTTGACTCCACTCGGGGCTGGTCCACAAGCCACGCCTATAAACTTATTCATTGGTCCAATTTCTATCCAATCGCCACTAAAAGGTTGTCCATCCCTCAACCTGGCCACGCCTAAGCCCCCGCCCCCAGATTGACCATTGGTCCTGCCATGCCCCAAAGCCACGCCCCCCCACCATTCCACAGGCCAGACCCCAACCCCCAGCGTGCGCCCTCACCAGGCTGATGAGTTGCGCTAGGGTAAGACCAATGCTGACTTCGACGCTGTCACCCAACACGCGCGCCGGCCGTACAGTACTATCATAGCCCGAGAAAAGTTTGTCGCGGAGTTGGCCCTCCGCCTCTGAGCCGTGGGCGCCTGTGGGAGAAGAGCATTAAGTGAAGCCCTGGTGCCTGTTCACAACCGTTGCTCCAGTCACTGCCTCCTCAGGATTTACTTACCTGGGGCGAGCAGCACCCCCAGGACCCCCAGAAGCAACAGCAGCACCCCTGGGGTCATAGTCTGGTCGTGGTCGCGGTGCTCAGTGAGTTCGCCCGGGAAGCTGCTGAGGCAACCAGCGCAGGGGAAGTGACGAGGCGCCCAGGAATGTGCACCTGTCGTTGGGGGGCAGCTGCCACCCCACCAGCCCCGCCCCCGGGATTAGTTCCGCCCCGAGCAACTGCCATCGCCCGCCACTCAGAGATGACAGACAATACTTCAGTTGTATAAACTGACTTTAATTTGAAAGCGTAGAATGGTGACCCAGTCCCCTGGGTGAAGTGTCAGGAGATGGGTGGAGCCTGAGCGGGGTTTGTGTGGGTGAGGGGGGAACCTACCCCCCTTGCGACAAGCCAGAAGTAAAAGAGCCTGAGAAAAAGTGACCCGTCTTTGAGCACTAGCCCCTTGCTTAGGGTCTCAATCTATCCCGCCCAGGTCTGTGGCGCTTGGGTATATAGTTCACTAATGGGTTCCCAGTCCTTTCCAGGCCTTGTTGTCCGTTTTTCAGAAAAATCTAGTCAGGCCCTTTGGGTACTTAAAACCCAGCTGAGGTTATAAGCTGTAAAGTAAAGCAAGTCTATTCACTTAGAAGCTCTGGGGGTGCATAAGGTCTCCAGCTTAAGAGGCCCTCACCCTCCTTGGCCTGACCTGTAGGGGAGAGGGGTGGGACTTATTGCTGAATTGGAGTATCCTCATGGGGAGGGGCATCAAGGCTGTGTCCCATTTGTCCTTTTAATTCTAGACCTACCTATTGCCCTAAAAACCTCAGCTTTAAAGGGGACCTGGAAGGAATTCCTGCTGAGGTAGCTAAGTGTTCATGTCCCCCCAACCCAGACACAGATTCAATTATGCCATGGTTTTTGTTTCCTTTCCCCTCCCACTTTCTGGGTCAGGGATACTTTCAAAATTCTTCTGCCCTTTCCCAGACTTTTCCCTGGCAGGACCCCAGCTGGGTTGCAGAGGCTGGATGGGGAACTGCATGTAAAAATAAGGTTAGCATTCTACATGGAAGAATAAAGTTTTTTAGAAAATTATCCAGGAAAATAAGTGGTTCTTTATTCAATCAGAACTAATTAGTTCTTTATGAATCATAGCTGGGTCCTTTTCAGAGCTCATTCTTAATAGGTATCACTAGAAGTGAGAAAGTAGGTCTAGAATTCAAGACTCTAGAGCTAATATGGCTATATAGGCCCCCAGTTCTATCCTGGAAAGAGGTCTGAAAGTCATGGCATATGTTCTAGAGCTATAATTCAGGAGGAATTATGGCTCCATAAAGGTCTAGAACACTGTGCTCTAGAACTGAATATCTCTGGGATAAAAAGGTTAAACCTGTGGTGATCTGAGAGTGGTCCCAGTTCAGGCCAAGGTCAACATCTTGACAGGGCTTAAATCCAGTCTCTCTACTTGAAGGCTAAGGGTCCAACTGGGTTAAGGATGGAAGCTTGATGGATCCAGAACAGAACCTGGCAGCATGCCTAAGTTCTAGCACAGAGCCCTAGTACAGAAATGGCCCTGGCTGGGGTGTTTGGTATTTCAGAACCTGACCAGACAAGGCAGAAGGTAGAATAGGGAAAGAAGAAAAATGATCCTGAGCTTCAGTGGACCTATGGCTCAGTGGCAATGAAAGGGGGTACAAGGATCCAGGAAGTGGCTAAGCCAGGGAGTGGTTTATGCCCTGGCTCTGTCAGTTTTGGAACTCCTAATGCCATCTTGAGAAAAGGCTTTGGGGGAAGAGTATGAGTATGGAAATAAGTGATCAGCCAGACTATAATCAGATATCTGCCCCCCACCCCCGACTCAAGGATCTAAAAGTCTCAACAGCCCTGGAAGTCCCAGCCAGCCCCTAGGTTCCCTCAGTGTAGAGTACCTGGTGGGACCTGGCTGCTCAGGGCATGTGTGTGGCAGCAGGGGTGAGAGCAGGGCAGGGAGCAGGGCTGGGAGACAGGCTGTGGTGGTGGCTGGCTCACTGGGAATTCAGGGAGCCTCCAGTCCAGAGATTATATTTCAGGGGGCAGGGGGACTAGAAGGGGAAGTCTCAGGGACACTGTGGAGAGAAGGCTCCCGGTACATGGCCACTGTGGAGGGGAGAGAGAGAGAGGAGCAGGGAAGGAGAGTTAGGCATAGAGAGACCAGGGCAAAACCAGAGCTCTGAGAGGGCTCCCTTCCCCCTACACTTGCCCAAAGAACCCCAACCCAAAGGAGGAAAGCCCCCCAAATCCAAAAGGCCAAAGCCTTCCCAGCATGACCTGTCATAACACATCCTCTTTTTTTTTTTTTTTTCTTGTGATACTTGGGATTGAGCCAGGGACTCTACCACTGAGTTACATCCCAACCATTTTTATAAAATTACCAAGGCTGGCCTCAAACTTGCAGTCTTCCTGCCTCAGCCTCCCCAGTCTGGGATTACAAGCATGCACCACCACACCCTGCTAACTGTATTCTCTTAATATTCATAACCTTAGCTGTGTATCACTAAATGTTCACGTCAAGGTCAATACCCTCCCACATGGCCCACCTTTTCTTGAGTCCATACCCACCCTCCAGGAGCTTGGGCACAAAGTGGGCAGCTGCCTTGGTCTTCTTGACTCGATTTCCCTTCATGACCCGGCCCTCCTTATCCAGGCCTAGGTACCAGGCTCGGCCAGAACGGCGCTGACGGTAGAGAGCAGAAGCATACAGGACATAATAATTCTCAAAGACACACTCCTTAAAGCGACACTCGGCAGTGAAATGTGGCTGAGGAGACAAAGACCCAGAAAGGCATACACAGAGAGACAAAAAGACACATCACTGGCAGAAGGAAGCCCTTGGGATGAACAAACCAGGATATAATCTATACATTTTTGGGAGAAGAGGAGGGCAACCACTGAACTGAGAGCAAAGGGAAGATAAGAAAGCGCTTAGGAGGCCCCTGAAGGCTATAAACTAGACTTGTGGGGGCCCTGGAATAAGATCCCTACTCTCTACTCCCAACTTTCACCATCACCTATCCTGAATGATTCTGGGGAAGTGAATAATAATCAAGTCTGGAGGAGACATGGTGAAAAGTGAGGACCCTAAAAGGCTGAAAGCATTGGACACCCAAACAGCCTGGGGTAGGGCTGTGTAAGGAGCAGGGATTGCACACATCCTAGAAAACCTTTGTGGTAAACAGTGACCACATGCCATAAGCCAAAGCTGGAGGTGGGGGAGTCCTGGGTGTGAAATGTCTATAGCTACAGAGGGTTGTATGCTGAGGGTGTCCCCAGTACCCCAGGCCACTCAGCCTTATCATCTCACCGAGCTGTAGAGCAGCCCCTCAGCGTTCATGGCCATGTAATGACCCAGCTTTGCACTCTGGATGGTGACAACACGGAGCCCCACAGGAATTAGGTTGAAGTGGGCTGGAGGAAAAGAGAGGAAGCATCAGTACCTAGGCACTTCACCCTTATCTGAGCTCCCTCCATCCAGGCTCCACTGCTTCCCTTTGGAATCTGGGAGACAGACAGAAAACAATAGAACCTGAAGAGGGAATAGGATTGTCATCTTATATCCCCTTATTCCCCCTTCCCACCCAGCAACTGGCTTCCCCTTCTCACTGAAGGAGCTGGTGTCCTCTGGGGTGCCATGGATGCTTCCGTCAGGATTCGCCTGGAGGTAGAAACCCTGGCGGCAGAACAGTTTGGTGACGATGCCTTTGAGTTGAGGTTCTAGAGAGAGAGACATTCATCTTTGAAAATGACATCTCTGTTCCCAGAAACATTCCTTCACTTGGCGGGATCACAGGAAAGAAAGGAGAATGGAGGAAAGGAAGCGGGTCCCAGGGAGGCAGATCTTTTACCTTCCAAGCAAGCTCTCTCCCACCCCTTGACTCCTGGGGAAGCTGGGGTTTGGGTCCCTTCTGTTTCTTCTAGCCACCAGCTTTCAGTTTAATTATTGAAATTTATTTAAATGGCTTAATTCCTACTCTATAGCTCATCCAGAAGGGGGGAGGGGAGAGATGGAGAGAAGGAAAGATACATCAAGAAGCAGCGGGCATGGCAAGACTAGCAGGGCTACTGAAAGGGCAGAGTGTTTGTGAATGGGGGGGGTGGGGAAGCGGCAAGGTGACCACAAGGAAGGGGCTCCCCCTCAGGAGCGGGGGTGGGATTGGGCCTGACGCTGACTCAGCACCTGCTGCTGCGGCTGCCGTTTGCTTGGCGCGGGCATTGCCTTGGCCCAGCGCCGGCCTGTCTGACACTGACCCATCTGTGTGTCTGTCTGTCTGTCAGTCTGCTGGCTCGCGGAGGCCTAGTTCTCCCTGAGGCTCAGCCTCTTCCCTTCACCCAGGTAACCCACCTGGGATTGGGGGACGTCCGGTACCATATCAAGGATATGGGGGAGGGGGCCATGGAGAAGGAGAGGCAGGCTGAGTCACGTGGAGGCCGGTTCCCACTCAGAGGGTGGGCTGCGGACTGTACCACTATGGACTGCGGGCGGCGGGGGAGGAGGACGCGAGGGGCTACCCCTAGGGGAAATGGGAACCGGCTGGAGCCGGGCCAGAGGGACTCCCTGACCGTCATACCTGGACAAGGACCACAAGCTAACATACAGCTCTCCTCCCGGGTCGCTTGCTCTCTGTCAACTTCCCTGTCCCCCCTGTATGTGGTACGACCCCCAAGTCTTAGTGCCTTTTTTCTAGCAGTGAACTGTGTTTGAGTTCTTCCAGGCTCAGGGTCCCCTGAGCCTGCGGACCGTATTTTGGAGTCATGCAGAGGGAAATGGGGGAGGGTTGCCCCTACTGACTTCTTGTAGTTCAGGTCAAGTGAGGAGGTCCCACTAAGGGGCTGACTGGTGAGGTAGCTACAAGGACACCGGGGGAGAGCTGGGGAGATTGGTTTTGAGCCAAGCAAGCTGGACCCGGAGGAAGCGAGCCTAGGCGTGGAGCGGGAGAATCAGGGTGGGGGCGGGGCGGCCAGAGCTGCAGAAACCCTCTGGGTGACCCAGGCGTCCGGAACCCCCGGGCCCCAAAGCTCTCAATTGAAAGAATCGCGAGAAACGGCACGTAGGCGGAGGACTGTGGGGGTGGGGACTCCCGGGGTGAGTAGGAGCCGCCAGGCTTGCGGCCCCAGACTTAGCCCCTCAAGTCTTTCCCTTTCCCTTGCCCTCGAAAGCAAGGAGACTTAACGTTATGGACAAAAGGCGAGGGAAACTGAGGCACAGTCTAGCAGACTTTGTCGTCCGGTCCCGCCCCTTCCCACTTTGGGGGACCACCCTCAACCAGGCTCCATTCTTCAGAGTCCCTGGCCTCAACCTCTCAGGAGGAGAGAACTCGAGGGGAGACCCCGCCCCAGCCGCACTCACCAAGGCCGCGGTCGGGCCGAGTCGGCCGTCCCCCGCACAGTCGCACCTTGGACAGCAGGATGAGGAGCTGCTTCTGGCAAAGGGACTTGGTGCCGCGGGGACACACGCGCCGCTGCGCCGACACCGGCCGGCTGCCCCCGGGCTCGCGGACCTCCCGCTTCTGCCGGATCAGGCTACTGGCCAGCGCCGCCATGGCGCCCCAGAAGAAGACACCCCCAAAACAGCAGGCGCTAGGAGCGCCCTGGGCTCCTTCAGAGGAGCCCTCTCACCAGGACATGCTCTTGACGCTCAGTTCCCAACTCACCGCCCCACCCACAGGACCTGAGGATAAACCCCAGAGCCACCAGCTCCCACCCTTGGGCCCTGTGCTAGCTCCACGCGATTCAGCAGCCTATGCACTCCCCACTTGACCTCACCCTCAAATTTTGTCCCCTACTGAAAACTCTCCCTTCCCTCCTCTACAGTGTCTTTGTTTCCACTTCCCCTGTCCCAAACCAAGACCCTCCAAATTTCTAAGATATGGTCTCAATATCCCCAAGCCCTTTTCCACCCCCTTTCCACCCCCCAGCCAGATCCACTCTTGTAATCTAAAGGGTGTGGGTCCTTAGTTTTGGAGAAATTAGCTCACCCTACCCCTGCAGGGCCACTGTCAATGTCAGGAAGGAACCCAACCTTGGTGCTTTTTCCTTTGCTACCCTCTAAATGAAAAAGATCCCCCACTTTTCACTGAAATCCCCCCAAATATCTCAGAATATCCAGGCTGTCCAGGTTTATTGAGATTCCCAGACCCTCTAGCTGAACACCTTTTCCCACTATCCCTATTTCTAGTAGCACAGTGTTCCAGCTGCAGAGACCCTTTCCTCACCTTGTCACCCTCCACTCCTTTTGAAGTCACCTCCAAATCCACCCTTCCTAGTGAATACACCAGGTGATTGTCAGAGGGACCCTGTCACCTGGAAATAAGGAGCACCTTGCCCCTTAAATTTCCTTAGGGACAGCTGGTGCTGCTTGGATCCCACGCCCTCCAATCTAATCAGCCCCCCGAAAGAGGTGTGCACCCACGTTGTCAACCAGTCCGCAAATGTGAACAGGCCCCTTATAAATCAGCGCACCAGAGCTTCCTGCCACAGGGCTTCCTCGTCCTCCCCGGCACTGCCTATAGCACCCCCTTTCCTTTCCCCGACGCCCCTCAACCTGTCCTGTCCTGTTGATCCGGGCGACTGGTAGCGGCTGGCTCCGGCTCTTGGCTCCTCCCTCCCTCTCCCCGGCAAGAGGAGCTTCCCCCACGCCCTGCTAGGCGTCCCGGACCCCAGGGAAGGAGTGAAGGTGTCTCTGCAGAGCGCCCCGGTCCGGAGAAGTCAGAGCACTGGGCCTGGCAACTGGACTAGGCAAAGCGGTGGCGGCAGCGGCAGCAGCAGCGGCTGTGGGAAGCTGAGGCGGCGGCAGCTACAGCAGCTCCCCCTCCTCCGAGAGCCGGCCCGGGGGCGGGGCAGGGGGCGGAGACGCTAGGAACRAGGGAGGGGGGTGAAGCTGGGGTTCCTTGGAGAGGGGAGTGTTTCAGAGGTAGGCGGAGTCGAAGCCAGGCCGCACGTCTTGGGGTTCAGAGAAGGAGCGATAGGAATTCTGAGCCGAACACTGATGTGGGAGAGAGGTTGGGTTTCAGATAGAATAGCAGTCGGAAGAATGGAGCAGGACCTACTGCCTGGGATGGAAGTGAGGACAGAACTGGATGACGAAAGTGGGGGAAGAAATTGAAAGATGGGGGAGGGCAGTGAGATCTAGCCCAGGGTGAAATCCAGCCTCTTTAATACTTATGTTTTTGTGTGACAAATTGATCATTCCCTGTTTTCCATACCTCTCTCCTTTCTGCATTTTGTCAGCAACTACAGTCTTCCTATTTCTATTGACTCCTAAGAGAAAAGGCCAAAATAATTGGGGAGAAATGGTTGCAAGAGGTTGCATCTGGGCAGGAAGCATGCTGGTCAGATTTGGTGAAGGGGGATGATCTGGCCAGAGTTGGGGCGGAGCGCAATGGGGAGGAATCGCCTAGGAGGTCTTCTAGAACAGAAACTGGGCCCAGGCACAATCTGTCTTCATGTAAGGGACGAACAGTTCTCCACGTCTCATCACCAACGGAAACACTTTCTACACGGATAGGAGTAGCGTCTTTAATGGGTTCCGCCCCCAATGCCCGCCAAGCCGCCCCCCTTGCGGGCAACCTTGGCCTCCTCCACTGCCTCACGCAAGGCCCGGGCAGGGTCCCCGCGGAGCTGGGCCAATGCCCTGAGTAGGGCTGCTGTGCCCTCTCCCGCACAGAGCTTTGGACCGCTGAGAAAATAGTGAGGCAGCGTCCCGGCCTCGAGCACGCGGCCCAGCTCATCCAGCAGTCCTAGGCAGCAGGCGCCCGCATTTTCCGGCCGCGCCAGGTAGAGTGCCGGCAGCCGCTCGCACGCCCAGTACAGCAACGTCCGAAGGAGGTAGGGCRCCGCGGCCCGGGTCCCGGCCACCAGCGGGCGCAGCAACGCTTGGGCCGCCGCGTGCGCCTGCAGCAGCGGCGCGGGTATGCGCGCCTTGAGCGCCAGCTCCTGGCGGGCGAAGCAGAGGTGCCAGTCAGAGGCGCCGGGCGGCCGGTTGCCACCTCCCGGGACCAGGTAGAAGGAGGCCGACTCCAAGGCCAGCGGACCCGCCCACGAGTGGCTCCGAGCCCCCTCTGGCCAGCCTGTCACGGACACTACAGGAATCAAGTCGAAAAGCAGAAGGCGGCGCGGGGGTCCCGGCGTTGCCAAGAGGACCGTGGTGAAACCCGCGTGGCGAGCTGCGTGCAGTAGGCGCGGAGCCCCCGGGACTGGGATCAAGGACTCGGCGACAGCAGCSAGTGTAGAAAAGAACCAGGCAGCCACCTGGGCGGGACACAATGTGGGCCACGCCTCCGGAGTCTCTGCGGGCTCTGGGACTGGGCATTCGACGGTAGCCCCGGTGACGTCACTTCTTAGTACTTTCAAAGGTGCGGGAGAACCAAGATCGGTGACGTCATGATGATAAGACACTGGCTCTGAAACGTCACTAGGTGATTTTTCCATAAACACTTGCAGCTGAGGCTCAGTAACGTAAGAGTGCAGCTGGTCCACACGGCTTTGCTGGTCATTGGGACTTCCTTCACTTTTGCTTTGGTTAATCAAATCACATCTACCTGGGACTGGAGGCCCTAGGCAATTCTGCCATGCCTCCCGGACCATATTTCCGCACACCAGCTCTGGGAGACGGAGCCTTGCGGAACAGGATTCCAGATCCAGTTGCAGTTCTGGCCCAGTGACGTCCAGAGAAAACACTGGCACTAAGAGTGTGAAGCCAGCGTCATAGTGAGGTCCCCGGTTGTAGGGACCTAGCGGTGCATGCCCCAGATCTAGGGAGCCCTCGCGAATCCCACCACGAAGCAGCAAGAGCTCTGCCTGGGGAGGAAAGCGGGGGTCCTGGCGGTAAACTAGACCTAAGGGAAGAGAATGGATGGTGAGGGCGTCGTCCGAAGGGGAGGGGAATGGCAAGGTGGAGGGTTGTGGATTCTCACAGGCGAGGATTACTTACCAAGCAATGAAAAGACGAAGTCCTTAGCCCGGAGGAGGTCGGCTCCCGGCTTGGGCCCGTTATTCCAGCTCTCCTGAACACCGAGCTCCTGAATCAGCTGGGTCAGTTCCTGCAGCTGCGCCCCGGAACAGAAGTCAATGTCCGTGAGCGGCCGGGCTGGGGCTGGGGGCGGCGGGCCCCACCAGGGCGCATTTCCCCAGACCGCTGAAGCCATGCTACTCTATCGTTTGGGGATAAGGAAAACACAGGAGATGGCCTAGACAGGCCTTTCCTTTGCTGCCAAAAATCGCTTCAGTTTTTTCCCTTCTTCGGATGCCTAGCAAGTGCCCCAGACACAGTCCACAAACGGGTCTGCAGACGATCGATTCTAAGTTTAGTCTTCAAAACAAATACCTCTTGTGTCCTTGCTCCTTTCTCTGCAGGTCCCCGTCCTCGCGAACGGGTTCACCTGTCTCAGCAGGTGAAAAGTAGCTACTGGGCTCCTCCTACAGCATGCAGTAACTGGGTTTCAAACCCCCTTCTCTACCTCCCTTACCTCTTTTTCGAAAGAGGATTATTGGTTTGTAGCTTACCCCCTAGGGGTAGCTGTAAAGCTGGGGAAGAAACAGGACAGAATGATTCAACAGGTAGCTTCTTCCGGATGCCCACGCCCCTAAATTTCGACCACGCCCTTTCTGTAGACTGTAGGGGTGGCTCGGGCTTTGTCCCGCCTCTCGTGAGAGTTCAATCACTGGTTTCACCAGGTTGAAATCTCGCGCTACCCTGGGAGTTGTAGTTTGTTTTCCGCGCTACCAGGGCGTTGGAGCCATGCCCCTACATCTTTTCCCGTTCCGCTGAAGTAGTGCCTTATGGAAGTTGTAGTTTTTTTTWAAAAAAATTAATTTTATTTTGGTACCAGGCATTGAATCCAGGGACACTTAATCACTGAGCCACAACCCCAGACCCCGGGGTTTTTTATTTTTTTATTTTAAGACAGGGCCTTACTAAGTTGCTTAGGGCCTCTCTAAGCTGTTGAGGCTGGCTTTGAACTTGTGATTCTCCTGCCTCAGCTTCCCGAATCATTGGAATTACTTACACACCCAATCTGGAAATTGTGGTTTCTATGGAGTTATATTATGGTGCCTACTGGATCCCACACAAACATTCCTTGGATATGGAGTAGAAAGGTAATTGGATGGATCTGAATAGCAGAAATGAATAGACACACTTTAGGGCCTGGGGAGAAATAGGGATCCTTGCATACCAGCAGCTCTGGTCACTTCCAGGAAATCATGACTTCCTCATTTTGGTGTTGGAAAGACTGCAGCTTAGAAAGATTGCACATGACTTGTCCAAGATCAGAGCCRAGTCAGGCAGGAATGGGTCCCCCTGGATGGAGAGGCATCTTCTTGAAATTAGTGGTAGAAATGTTAAAGCAGGAATGGATATCTGATTCAGGGAAAGACATACATAAAAATGATGCCCACCTCAGATATATAAGAGTCATGGTAGGAAAAACTTTGGAATTTCACAGTTGTGTGCACATATAAAGGTTATTAGGATTGAAAATGAGGTCCAGAGGAAACTCATAGCTAGAATGGAGCAGGGCAGTGGAAAATAATCAAAGTCAGGAAATTGCTTTTCAGTAACCTATGCTACTAAGGACCAGACTAAGGGACCAGAACACAATTTAAGCACAAAATGGGAGTAGGAGCCAGGATAATGAGACACAAAGATAGGAAACCAGGAATAATATCTCAGATCAGACCAATTTATTGCCAAGCAAGTTATTTAGTTTTGGTACTAGGGATTGAATCCAGGGGTGCTTTACCTCTTAGTCACCACACCCCCCCTCCTTTTTTTGGGGGGGGCAGGGACAAAGTCTCACTAAGTTGCTTAGGGCCTTGCTAATTGCTGGTCTCAAATTTGCAGTCTTCCTGCCTCAGCCTCCCTAATCACTAGGATTACAGGCATGTGCCACCACACCCGGCCAGGCCAGGACTTTTTACATTTCTTCTGCCCACAGTCTGTCTCCAGGGTGGAAGAGGCCTAAGTCCAATAGCATAAGCAGGGGCACATTGATAATGTGGAGGCATGTAAAGGAGGAGACTCCTGAAACCAGAGGTCAATTTAGGAAGCCTAGACCTCAGGAGTCACTGAGAAGGAGAGTCCAACAGGAGAATCAAGAACACTCAAACACAGCCCAGACCTGGGGACATAAATTTCCATGCATCCAACTGTGACCCAAGAAGCCAGCAGGGGTTTTACATAGTCTGGGGTAAACAGGCATTGGCATCCTTACATCTTACCTGCTCAAGAACAAAGTTCTCTGGGCACTATGAGCTTTGAAAATGTTGGGGATGGACCAGGTGCATGCCTGTAATCCCAGTGACAGGAAGCTGAGGCAGGAAGATTGTGATTTCAAAGCCAGCTTCAGCAACTTAGCGAGGCCTTAAGCAACTCAGTGAGAACTTATCTCTAATAAAATATAAAGAAGGGCTGGGGATGTGACTCAGTGGTTAAGCACCCCTGGGTGCAATGCCTGGTACCAAATAATGATGATGATATGATGATGCTGGGGATGGGTGACAAAGGGAAGGGAAATCCTTTTAACTCTAAAGCATTGCTCTCTACAGGATTTTCTAATGGAAATGTCCTTGATTTATATTGTCCAATACAGTAGCCACTAGCTATAGTTGGCTATTGAGCACTTAAAGTGTAGATTATGAGACAGAGGAATCAAATTTTTTGCTGAATGTTAATTCAGTAGTAAGTGCTTGTCTAGCACATATAAAGCTCTTGAGTTCAATCCCTAGCCCTGCAAAAAAATTAATAAAAGATATGCTTCTGTGAACACAATAGATAATACAGAAGTTATAATGAGGGGCTGAGATTGTGGCTCAGCGGTAGAGTGCTCACCTAGCATGTGCGAGGCCCTGGGTTCGATCCTCAGCACCACATAAAAATAAAAATGATATTGTGTCCAATTACAAATAAAAAATTTTTTAAAAAGTTATGAATATATAGTTATGATCTAATCTTCACTTCCACCCTAGATAATTCTAAAGTGTATACCCCCTTTGAGAATTTTTTCCTATGTATTTTTGAACAAAAATGAGATAGAAAAAATTTGTTTTTGACATTTTAATAGCCATATTTGGCTAGTGGTTACTGTAATGCAAATGTAGCTCTAGGGTCTGAAGAATAACGTGGCTACATAGATATAGAGGAGGAGCAAGGACATCTCAGTTCCAGTACCCATTTGTCTCTGGGTGGTCAACCTTAGGGCTGGAGCTAGGGCTAGGGTAGATGCTGTCAAACAACCACAGAACACTTTGACTCTTTATTCCTGATGCACTTTTGTTCCCTGTATGTCTGAGGTCCTCATCACATTCTGATATCTCCACTCTCTGATGGTCTCCCCTAAGTTGTTGGGTGCCTCTTGGCAGGGGCGCCTGGGAGACAGAGCTTCACACTTGTCCCTGCCCACTGATAACTGTCTTTGGCGGGCATCAAACACCACATGCCCTGCCCGGAAGCCTGGTCCAGGATAGTGAGGTCTGTTGTTGATTTTGGGAGGCATTGACATCTGGCGATAGCTCTGAAAAGCTGAAGAAACTGTACCCACAGGGCGGTATACCCAGCCTTGGCTGTCTGTTCGCCAGGAGGATGGCTTTAGCTCAACTAGTACAGGTACTTCTGAGAAGGTATGCAGGTTAGTGGGGATCTTGGAAGGGCAGTTTTGATTGATTGGGGTGGAAGTACATGATATATGCTGTTCTGCATTCTCCTTCTGAGGAGCCATCTCATGTATTGATTTCTTCAGGGATGGTATTAGCTTTGGGGACTGAAGTGGGCCTAGGACTTGGGCAGAGTCAGTACATAGAGTAGCGCTTGGGTTCTTTGGGAGGCCAGGATTTGGGATATTGCCTGAATCCTTGTGGAGACCAGATTCCTGGGTAAGTCCTGGATTCTTGAGGAGGCCAACGTCTTGTGCAAGTGTTGGGTTCTTATGTAGGCCAGGATCTCGATTAATTCTTGGGAACTTGTGGAGGTTAGGATTTTGGCTTTGTTCTAGATTCCTATAAACTCCAGCATCTTGGATAAGGATAAATCTTTTTTCAGCTTCAGTGGATTGGGTAAGGCCTGGACTCTTACGGCAGTTGGAATCTTGGGGAAGGCCTGGAACCCTGCGGAGTCCAAAGTCTTGGATAAGGCCTAGATTCTTGTAGTCTCCTGAATCTTGGGTCGGGCCCTTATTGAGGCCAGATGTTTGGACAGAGCCTGGGCACTTCTTGGGACCAAATGCCTGGGTAAGTCCTGAGCTCTTGTTAAGTTCAGGGTCTTGGACAAAGTAGGGACTCTTCTGTGGTCTAGAACCTTGGCCTAGGCTCCTGTTGACCCCTGAATCTTGGACATTGCCTGAACTCTTATAACCTCTAGAATCTTGAGAAGGGCCTGGCCTCTTTTGGAGGTCAGTTGTTTGGGAGACATCTTGATTTTTGCAGACAACAGTGTCTTGGTTGGGTTCAACATTCTTAGAGACACCAGAGCCTTGTATAAAGCCCAAATTCTGAAGGTTAGAATTTTGGGTACATGGTATGTTCTTGTGGAAGCTGGAGGATTGAGTGTAACTTGGGCTTCTAAAGACACCCCTATCTTGAGTAATACCTGGGCTCCTTTGGAGTCCAGAATCTTGGGCAATGCCTGGATTCTTTTGCAGGCCAGAGTCTTGAGAAGGGTTTGAATTCTTGCAGAGACAAGGGTTTTGAGTATGGTTTGGGAACTTGTGGAGGCCTGGATTTGGGACAAGGCCTGGGTTTCTGGGAACTCTGGAGTCTTTTGAAAGGTATGGAGTCCTCTGGAGGCCAGGATCTTGGGTTCGGCTTGGATTCTCATGAAGTTCAGGAGACTGGGTTTGGATCAAGTATTGAGAAGTGGTAGAGAACTGGGGAGGAATGGGGAAGTGGGAAGCAGAGAGAGACTGAGGAGACTTAGAGGTTGGGAGAAGGGTGGGTGCTTGTATTAAGGTGGAGGGCTTCTGATGGTTGATGGGTCGAGAAAGGACAAAGGTTTTGGGAGGAACAAGCGGCAGAGAAAGAGTGCATGGTGGAGGAATGGTAGTCAGAGAGCTCTGAGCACTAGTTGGAGAATGAAGGCATTGTTTAGAAGGGGCAACATCCTGGGTATAGACCAAGATCTTGGGGTAAATTGGTGCCTGGAAATCTGTGTTTTTCTTCTCAGAACTGCAAGGATGGAAGCTGCAGTAAGGGAAGGTCTTGGACTGGCTGAGTTTCTTGTCTTTGCCATCATCTGATATCTTCCATTCCATGTTCCCCAACTCCAGGTAGCCCAGTATAGATCCTGGAGAAGGCTGGGCACTGTCTTCACCATGTTGCTTTGATATATGCTCAGATGTTTCAGAACTTGCTAAGCCCTGCCTCTCTTGGGGCCTGGAGAGGGTACCAAAATTCTTCTTGGAATATCCAGAGTTCTGAGGGTTGCACTTATGGAAAACATTCTGCTTTACCCTGCGGGCATCATAGACCACATGGCCAGTGGAGAGGCTAGGGCCAAAGGCAGGCAGAGTAGAAGGACTAGGAGTTAGGTTGGGGGTAGGGGTGATGATAGGGACAGGAGCACGGGCTGGAGGGGCCATGACTGATGCTGGGGCAGGGGTTAGAACAGGCATCCCAGTATGGGCAGAGGATTGAATTTCATGAGAATGGACTGGAGTATGTGCTGGGGTTTGGACTGATGTGCGCTCAGGTACTTGGGCCTGGGAGTGGGTCCAAACCTCCGCTGGGGTGTGGACTGGGTTGTGACCCTGGGAATAGGCTGAGGCATATGCAGACACCTGGGCTGGGATGTGGAGTGGGATGTGGGCTGAGGTGTGTTCAGGGATAAGAGCCTTACAGTGAGTGTACTGAGAGGTGTGGGCTGGGGCCTGGACTTGGGAAGGAGCTGGGACCTGGGCTGGGGGAGGGGCTGGGACCTGGGCTGGGACCTGGGCTGGGGAAGGGGTTGGGACCTGGGCTGGGGAAGGGGCTGGGACCTGGGCTGAGGAAGGGGGTGGGACCTGGGTTGGGGGAGGGGCTGGGACCTGGGCTGAGGGTGGTGCTGAGGTGTGGACCTGGATTGGGGCGTGGGCTAAGATGTGGACTTGGTTTTGGGCCAGGGCCCTGGATGCGGTATGGACTGGAGTAGGAGGTGGTGTACGGGGTGGGGTTTGGGCTAAGACATGGGATGGGGTAGGGATCTGGGTAGGGATTGGAATAGGAGCTGGAGCATGGGAGAGGGTAGGAGCTGCAGCATGAGATGGGGTAGCGGCTGCAGCATGGGCTTGGCTGGGAGCTGGAGTAGAAGCTGGGATCAAGGCTGGAGCATGAGCTGGTGGAGTATAGGTTGAAGTATGCTCAAGATCCTGGGCCTGGGCATGGGTATACTCTGGGTTGTGGGTCAGGGAAGGGATGGGGATGTGCTCGGGGGTATGGGCTAAGGAGTGGGTCCCGGCCTGGGCTGGGGTATGGTCTGGCCCATAGTCTAGGGCCTTAGTCTTGCCCTCTTGGGGTAAACAGATTGATACCATGTCTAACTTGCTCATCTTCAGGAAAGGGGAGGAAATCTCTGGCTTGGGAAACATGGAGGCCTGGGTTTTCAAGGCTGTGCCTTGAGAGGCCTCCCCAGCTCCCATCATCCCCTCCTTCCTCAATCCCCATTGAGCCTCCGTGGGAAGCCCAGCATGTCCACATTGAGGTGGCATCCAGCAGCACCCAGAAACCTTTTCATCATTTGTATCTGGTATCCAGGAGTCACGATGGTTAGAATGACCGAACAGGAAGCTGGGGCGACGATGAAAGTGGGAAGAGATTCTTGAGTACAGATTCTTGGGATCTGTGGTGCAGCGCATATACACGGGCCTGCTGCCTAGACCACCATGTTGCTTGTCTACAGAGAGGAGAGATGGAACAAGGCCTGGGTGTCAGAAGGGCTGAGAAAAGGGACAGGGAGATAAGAAAAAATGTGACAAACCTACATTGCTGGAGCTCATGCTGGGACTCACTTACCTTTGGGAAAAAAATGATGGAAAAGAATCCGCAAGGAGCCCTTCAGATGTTTCCAGAGCTGAGGGAAGCAGGAGAGGAGAGATTCCAGCAGTAGGGTAAGCTCTGAAGTCCTTGTCTGACTACATCCTAGCAGCCCCCACCCCCCACTACTTCATTCCCTTCAAGATCCCAGTGTCCCAACCCTGCTGCCCGGACCCTGCCCTGACCAGAATCACCACATTGATCCCCACGTTGAGCAAGATGAAGCTGCCCAGAATCAGAAGAATTGAATCTCCTAAGTCCTGACACTTCCTGGGGTTGGTGCCAGAGCACATCTGGGCTCCATAGTAGACTCGCTCACCCATGGCCTGGGGTCCCAGGACTACCTGGGCCCCCTGGCCCCCACATACTAAGAGACAAACTCCTTTGAGGGGGAGGGGAGAAGGCCTGAGTCATAAAGGGGTAGATGGTTGGAACACAATGAGAGAGGCAGAGAAAAAGGAGAGCTCAGGGTGGAGTTTCCTGGTAACCAGGTCCCAGTAACCTGAGCCTGGAGGCTAGTGTACTTCCACTCTTTCTCAATTATTGCCTCACTGAACTTCGTTCATTCAGCTCCCACAAACACTCCTCCTTCCATCTTTCCATTATTCCTGCAGTTTCAGTAGAAAATCCAGAATCCTTTACCCCTTGACCACTCCTGAGACTGGGAAAACCTTGGCCTCAGAGCCCTAACTGGAATCAAGAGCCTTGGCCTTCATCTTGCCCTACATTGGGCCACTGACCTTGATCTGCCTAGACGTGGAATCCCAGATCTGGAATCTCTCTCTCTCTCTCTCTCTTACCTGTACAGAAGATTGAACCCAGGGCTTCGCATATGCTAGGCGAGTGCTTCATCACTGAGCCATATCCCCAGCCCTTTTTGCATTTAATTTAGAACCAGAATCTCACTTAAGTTGCCTAGGCTGACCCCAAATTTGTGATCCTCCTATCTCAGTCTTTTGGGTAGCTGGGATTACTAGTATGCACCACCATGTCTGTCTGACCTGAGTTTCTTGAGCAGGGCTGAGCCTCTGAACCCCTTTTGTGGAATGGAGAACAGAGAAACGGGGTGAGTGCTCAGAGACTCATGGTTTGATGTCTGCAGCTGGGAGACCTTAATATATGGTATAAGACCAGGACAATATTTTTTTTTTGTAGTCATAGATGGACAGCATGCCTTTATTTTATTTGCTTATTTTTGTTGTATGTGGTGCTAAGGATCAAACACAGTGCCTCACGCATGCTAGGCAAACGTTCCCAGCCTCAACCCCAAGGACAGTCTTGTTGGCAAGAACACGGCCTCATACCAAGAAGGGAACACTGACTTCTCATTTCAGGAATCCAAGGGCATGGTCTCTGTCTGGCAGAAAGAGAGCTACTTCTAAACCACAGACCACCACAGTGTTTCCTGGACTCGGTTTCTCTTTATTCCTCTCTCCATGACCTGCCCAGCCACCCACATTCTCCTGCAGGTCAGTTAAGTTTCCCAGGCCGGCTCCTGTGTAGAGAGGGCCTTGAAGTTGAGGTGGAAGGTGGTGGCAGTGAGTTGGCCCGTACTCTGTTCTCCTGCACTTGCCGCTTTAGCTCCAGGCTGTCGTACACCTGGTAGTTGGCATTGCCACCTGGATTCCTACTGAGTGGGACAAAGGTAGCTGGGACTGGGGGAGGATCAACAGCCTGGACTTCAGGCAGGGGCTGGGAGCAATGAGGGAGCAGGGCTGAGCTAGCAGCTGGGACCCGTTGATATGAAGCCTCACCCAACATAGTGAGGGAGGTGGAAGTGGTCAGAGGATGCCGAGGAGGCATAGCCTCAGCCCAGTCAGCAGCCCTGCGTCGCACCTCATGAGAATCCCGGGGGTTATAACCCAAATGTCCTATGGATGGGTATGGGCTGCGGTTGGGCTGGCTGTGAGCATGACCAGGGAGATTCCTTCTGTGGGATGGGGGCGAGTAGTGTTCCCGATAGCCCTGGGCCTCCTGCCGGGGGTTCCGGGACACCAAGGTAGTTGGGGGTTCACAGCCCTCTACACCACGCCGCCGCTGATCCCAAGCATCATACAGTGTCTGGCCTCCTGAAGAGTAAGGGCTATGCCCCCCAGGGACCCAGGAAGGGTTAGGGGGCAGCCGGCGGGGAGGTAATGGAGATGAGGTCCATTGCTCAGGCTCCATGTTGCCCCAAATTCGGGATTGTGAACAATGGGGTGCAGAGGACTGTAGCCTCAGCTCTGACTTGGCCTCTACACGCTTGGGTAAGAGGCGCAGTTCTGGTGACAGATAGATAGAGGGTGGTGGCAAGCTGGCCAGGATCCCACCTTTGCGGCCCCATAACCCCATGTTGGAGGGCAGTCCCATCCGCTGAACCCAGCCTGGGTTCTGGGGATGTGGGAAGGACAGATCCTCCTCATCCAAGTAGGAGTCCCTGTCCTCCATATCATAAAAGGGTATCGACTGCAGCTGTGACGTCTTGCGGTTGTGAGTTTGGTTATGAAAGACTGGGCGACCATGGGAGAATTTTCTGTGGTTCCAAGGCCTCTGCTGTTGGCTGGGGCGGTAACGTTGGCGGCATTGGCGGCGTTGTTGGTACTGGCGGTGGCGTGGTTGGTACTGGTGGTGTGGTTGGTGGCGGCCCCGGTGGTTATGGAGATACCGAGAGGAGGAAGAGGAGTAGCCTGTGGGTTGGGTCATCTTCACCTGTACAGGGTCCAGGACGCAGTGGATGTGGATGTCTTGGGCCTTGGCTGGGAAACGTTTGAGGGAACATTCAAAAGGCTGGACTTCATCTGGGGGAGGCAAGAGTCCATGAGGTGGGTGCAATTGCCATAAGAGTTCAGGTTAGGAATAGTGGGGTTTGAATTTCTGGGGCCATGGTAGTGGTCTTGGGGGGGGGAGGAGTCCTACTCTCTAGTTGCTATACTTACTTTTCTGCTTAATCCAATAGAAAATCTTGTCTAAGGCATTCTGGAACTCATGCCACATCTAGGGGTGGTGGGAGGGATGGGAGTGAAGGCCAGGCTCCCTACCTCCAACACCACCACCCCCAGCCCCAGTCAAGACCCGTCCTGCAGGTGGAGGTACAAGATGCAGCTGGCTCCCCCTCAGCCCTCTTCATCCCTGGGGATGGTCCACAACTGTCACTGACCACAGTTGCCACGTTGATGCCAATGTTGACAAGAATGATAAGTCCCACCAGCAGGAATAGGATGTCTTCAGCATCCTGGGGGCTTTCTTGGTGTTGATTACAGCACCCCAGGGTTTCACTCCAGAGCTGGTTTTCCATGGTGGGGGGGTCCTAGGGCCACTTGGGCCACCCCCCCCCACCTGGCCCCGACCCACACTGCATTCATGCCAGTACCTGGAGATATCTACCAGCTGAGAAGGGAGCCAGGTCATAATGAGGCAAGTTAGGAATGAGTCACAATGTAGAGGTGGTAGTCTTATTCACTCTGCTGGCTCTTCCCTATCCTAGGCTCCTACTTGATATTTGGTCCCCAGATGCCCCTGAGGTTAGTCTCTCCTTCTGTCTCCATGAGGCCTGCTTAACCACACACCTCATTCCTGATCTGAAAATAGGTAGCTACAGTCATAAGATAGTCTCCACAGAGGTTGAATGATGTGTAATTCCCTCAGTTTCTGGTCATTTGAGATATAATGGCAACATGTGTAGCCTGTTGGTATGCCCTACCCCATGCTACTTTGGGGCCAGCAGCTGGGGTGACTGACTGGATGAGTGACAACAAGTGTCCCCTCTGGGTTCACCCTGCTGTAACAGTTCCTCCCCATGCTGACCATTTCCCTGTCATAATCCCTGTAGCACACATCCCAACCCTTCCTGGCCAGGATTTGCAGCCCTGGACATTAGTGGTCCCTGAGCCCTTTGGCTTCTTCACTTCAGAGTCAGATGGATTTCCATCTTGCTGAGGTTGCTGCCCCCTGCCAGAGACTCCAACTATAGTTTCTCTCCTTCCAAACCAACTATCCTCTTATTGACCCATCCCCACTCTAAGTTGAAAAACAGGTTAACTCCCACCTTAAAGAAATGACCAAAACACAACATAGATGTTATTGTTGATGTGATGAATGGAGTCCTCCATGGAAACTAGGCTCAACATTGCAGTCTGAAAAAATGGTACCCTGAGGATGGCAAGTCCGTTGGTCCCACTGTCAACTATGCAGCAGAAATGGAGGAAAGGCTGATGAGCATTTCCAAAAAGGCCTCCAAACACATGGTAGATGCTTAGTATGTACCCACTGAATGGAAGCAGCCTGAAATGATCAATAATATTGGTTGAATGTAAATGAATGTAAATGTACAGAGAGATAGGGTGATCCACAGATCTACTCACATCCAGGAATCCTTCTAGCAACACTTTAGCAGAGTGTTCCCAAGCTATGTGTGTGCATGTGCCTGTGACTCTAACATTCTAGGAGTAGAGCCATGCCTTGGTTTCCTTGCTGCCCAGTGAGTGGAATATTCTGATGAGGTCACATGGTAAATTGAGGCAGGTGGGAGATTTGGGTAAGCTGACACAGTGGCAGTGGGAATCTATCTACTTGCAAGAGAAGGGGAATGGAGTGTCTGAGGCCATGAAATTGAACTTGGTGCCTATGTGACCATGATTAAGTCACTCAGTCTCTCAGAGCCTCCTGCAACGTGGAAAGGATTGTGATGTTATGGTGAAGTACCTCTTGAGAACATCTATAATATTTAATCTTCTGATCCAAGACTAATGGAGGGTACAGGAGCATCAGGTTCTTCCTGGAGAAATACGAGGGACTAGAGACCCTCCCTCTTAGTCATCCTCGCACAAGAAAATCAGGGTATAAGAAGGAACTATGTCTCCCCTGGGGCTGAGGCCTAAACCTGGCCTGGCAAGAACTGGACTTCTGAGGAGCTAGGGCCATGGAGATAAGGAGTCTCTCTAGTGAAGGGCTATCTGGGGGTCTGGGGCCAGATTTGAGAGCTTCTCTGGACACTTAAGAAAATAGGATTGGCCAGGCACAGTGGTGCAGGCCATAAACCAAGCAGCTTGGGCGGCTGAGGCAGGATTATATTATCACAAGTTTCAAGCCAGCTTCAGCAACTTAGTGAGGCCCTTAAGCAACTTAATGAGAACCTGTCTCAAAATAAAGATGTTATTGTTGACAGACAATATATGACAGAACATGTCTCACTGTTCTTATGGCTCAGAGYCTCTGGGCTGGGAGGTGGGGGGTTCACAGGGTATACATAGGCCTCTAG